TGACGTAAATAAACATGCTCTTTGAGGCTTGAACATTTACTTATCTTTCCTTTTTTTCCCTCTAGCGATGAAGAACTCCATGAAGCCTCTATCAGTCTCATACTTTAATATGCACACGCTTACTGAGCCTTCCTTCTCTAGTTCCTTGACACGCTAGCTTTGTGGGTCTATGGCTTTATCTCTGGTAAGGTAAGTGCCAAGGTAAGTACAGTAAAACTAATATCCTTTTAGAATGGCTTCATCTCTGGTAAGGTAAGTGTCAAGATAAGTAAAGTAAAACTAACATCCTTTTAGAATGACCTCCAGGTTTTTTGGCTTTTTACTTCTGGGTCTCTGGTAAGGTAGGTGTCAAGGTAAGTACAATAAAACTGACGTTCTTCTAGGATGGCCTCCATGGTTTGCCAGTTTTCTGGCCTCCAGGTTCGTTGGCTTTGTGGGCCTTTGACTTCTTGGGTCTCTAATGTAAGTTCCTGTTCCATTACTCACCTTTATCTGATAGGGTTTCATGGTCCTTCATCGGTCATTGATTCCAGGTATATATCATTCTCTTTGATATTAAAGCCGTCTCTTATAGGTTTCTTCTGATGGCTCTTTTGGCTCTTTTGCTTCTCTTGACACTCTTGACACTCTTGACACTCTTGACTCTTTTGACGACTCTTTCCACTCTTTTGGCTGCTCATAGATCTGCCCTTTATCTACTTTGTCTTGCTATGCTTTATTGTTGTATAAACAGTTTTTGTAATAAATGTCCTCTGTCTATTTGTTTTATTTCCCAATTTGAAGCCATCGTTATGCTAAAAATAAACTACATACATTTTTAATAATATTTATATACTCTTTAAATTTAAGAAATAGTGTGTGAATCTTTCAATAGCAGGTTCCTTGGACATTTCATATTTTTCAAATGCTAGCTTCTTTACCATACTGAATACTGAAAGTGAGTAAGATGTACACGTATTTGAAGAGGCTGAAAGATAGGATGAAAAAAAAGTTGGTAACATCTAAAAATTTTATTGTGAAGCATACTCATTTACTCTGCTTGAAAGGGAGCTCTGATTATCATTCTTCAAAAGATAGGCGCAACAAAAATTATAAATAGCTTAATGTATTACACATTTTCATTTTTCCTTCATTCAAAGGGTTAAAAGCAAACTGACCAAAAGGAAGTAGAAACTGTACTTTTGTTCCTTTACACAACACAGTCGTCAGTCACCTTTTTTTTCCTGACGACAGAAAATAAATCAAGAAGATGACTCTATGCCTAACTAAAAAGAAAGTTTGACAAATAAAATAGCTCTTCCATCTTTACTATTTAAAAGGGTTCAAAAGTAAGATGAATTATGAAAGAGCCAATGAGTAGCATCCTGAATTGACATGCAGCTGTCATCAAGATACACATTTTACTACTCCTTTGCTGTCTTTTATGACAAACATAAAAAATGAAGTTTTCTCGATTGTATATTTAGGCTTTGGAGGCTTCGTTTTCGCCTTGCTCACAAGACACAAGTTGCTGAAGAAACGAGAGTGATTGGTTCCACGACAAGAAGGACATCTAACTTGCTTTTGCTCATTGCTTTTCGCCATGTTCTTTTCTTTTTCCTTTTTAAGTGTTTTAGTCTTATCAGCCTTGCTTTGTTGTTTCTTAGAGGACTTGTTGGGAGTAGAAGTACAGCTAGTGGGAGGAGTAGGAGTGGGTAATACAACTTGAACGCTCGTATCGTTGTTAACTGTAGGCATAGATATCTCGTCACTACTGATAAATTGATAGATCGTATCTCATAATTTCAACAAGAAACACTGTTCTTGATGCAAGCAGTAATGATTCAGGAATAGAAGCTACTATCCTTTTACTATACCCTGTCTTGATGTTATATGGGCAATAACAATAAAACACACAATGAAAAGTAATATGTATCAACAGTTTCTATTGAAAAAATATGGTCATAACTCTTACATGCTGTGCATTCACATATTTCATACGCTTTAATAAACTTGAGTTGCAGAAGATTATAGAGACAAGTATCAATGGTCAAAGGTTGTCCATTTATTTCACAATTTTGACTGTCGTTTTATTTTTTTCTTTATTTTCCTTAATGCCATATTCTAGAAGAAGACCACTGTTAAGAACCTGCGATATTGCCAATAGTCATACAGACTTTTTTGACTATATTGGTATGGTTGTCGCTCTCCATGAGCTTATTCCAAACAAGATCATCATCAACTTGACTGATTTCACCGAGAATCCACAACCTTATGAAAACACGCATTTATCAATTGACTATAGATTGGTGATTCAAGCAACCGTCTGGGACCGAAACACAGTACCAGCTCGTAATTTGTCTATAGGCGATTTCGTTTTATTGGAGGATGTGATGAGAAAGAATGTAAATGGAGTTCTTGCATTCACTTTACATGGCAAAAACATTGACCGCCTCTTTGTTCATAAACTTGCAAGATCTGATATACGATTGAAGGATCTGTTGGAAAGAAAAAGAGTGTATGAAGAAGAGCGTCTCATTGAAATAACAAGAGAAGAATCACTTGTTGATCAGCCAACGATCATTGACTCTGGTAAAAAAAAAAAAAGCAAGATTGCTTGTGATATAACCGAGAGTGTTTAGAAGTGCTGACTATGAAGCCAATCAGTACGATAGAAGAGATACTTGAAGTGGAGGTAATTAAAAAAAAAGTATGATGTATATATATGTGTAAAACTCATATGCATAAATGTAAGCTTCAAAAAGATGACAACAATTCGATATATGTGGTCAATGCAATCATCAAAGATTATAAACCAAAGCCTATAGAAAAATGGGTATGGAAATGGTGTGATACATGCCAAAAGAGGTATATTTATATATAAATGTATAATTATTATGTGGCCAGGACAAACGTGATGATTAGATTTGATACAGAGAACCACAGTACAACCTGTCCAATCTGTGACGCAGCGTTTGAATACGTATTCCAGATTGCTTTTCTATTAGAGAATAATGGTTTGGTCTTACTCGCTTATGCATTCAACCAACATTGCGTAAGTACTTTGAAAGAATAATAATAACCATCATTTTTATAATCTTTTTTTTTTATATTACTGTTAGAAAAACCTATTCCCTAATTATACCCCAAAGGAGTAAGTGTAACATGCATATATATATACAGCAAAAAAGTGACTTTGAATTGTGTAGAGTATACGAAAATGAAGCAAAGAGAAGAGAACTAGAAATCATGGTAAGCTCACTTTGCAATGGAAGACAATTCAGGATTGGATTAAAATCCTATCGTAATCCAAGAGAAGAGTTGAGCTTTGCAATTGTGAATACCAAGTTCATTATTGAATAAAAAAAAATCCTCATTACTATCCTGGAAAAGATGCACAGAAAAAAAAAATCCATATATGGCCGATTACCCGTTCTCTTAAATTAAATATTATTTTCTCTTTCTCTCTTTTTTCTTCTCTCTTTTTTTTGCTCTTTAATGCTAAAAACTAGTTCACTAACATGGAGGAGGAAAATCACCACATGAGATCATACTTGGGATCAACTCATTCCGGTGACTATGTTTTACAAATAGATCCTGAATCTACATCCTCTACACCTCCTCAAAAATTACTGGACCTTCAAACAAGAGATAGTGATGTCGACGTTTGTTACCCTTATCAAGATCAATCATCAGATCAACATCCAACCGTAGACATAGATTCACTCAATAAATACTTGAAGGACTCACCTGAGCCTGACAACAACTATCTGGAGAAACATCAATTGACGGCTAAACTGGATGATCTGCTGGACAGTAATAGTAGCAGCGATAAGATACGTATCGCTAGGAAATATAGTCTCTACGGAGAAAATGTACAGGTAATACAGTAATATGAATTATATATACATGTAATAATATCCCTTTCATCTAGGATCCGTATTTGATAGATCAAGCAATGGATAGATGCACTTTTTATTCCGCTGAGCTTGGATCAATCGAAAATAAATCTTTTAGGCAACTTTTGGTCACAAAGCCTCCTGAAGCCATTAATACGGTTGCGGAATTATTGACAAATACGACTAATTGGTGGTTGGATATATGTGCACCTTCAAATGAGGAAATGAGATCTATTAGCAAAGTAAATTAAATATATACACACATTTAGAGTTAAAAGCTCACAATAATTAGATATTCCGTATTCATCCACTTACAACTGAGGATATTCAAGCCCAAGAATCAAGAGAAAAATGCGAAATCTTTCAGCATTACATGTTTGTCAGTTTTCGTACGTTCAATCAAGATTTCAATAGTCCAAATTATCTTGATGCAATCAACTTTTACATTATTGTCTTTAGAGATGGTGTTTTGACTGTAAGACAAACTCTTTAATATATATTACTTTTTATTCATTCCTTTTTTTTAGTTTCATTTCCAAGATTCGCCTCACCCTCGAAACGTCCGACGCCGTATTCATCAACTCAAGGATTTTATCAAAGTTACTCCCGAATGGATCAACTACGCATTGATCGACAACATCACTGATGGATTTGCTCCATTGATTCAACACACCGAACTAGAGGTAGACTCGATTGACGATCTTGTCCTCGTCTTGAACGGTTCAGAACAGAATGACATGTTGCGAAGAATCGGGAGTTGTCGAAAGACGGTCATGCAACTCATCCGCTTACTCGGACCAAAGGCTGATGTACTTCGTAGCTTGATCAAGCGTTATGAAGATAAAGCAAAAGAAATGGAATACAATAACATGCGAGCATTAGAACCTAACAACACCGGAGTAGATTCTCCACCAGAGCATGATGAAGTGAAGGCTCATCATGACGTTACCCTCTATCTTGGAGATATTCAAGATCATATCATCACTATGCTCCAAAATGTTAGTCATTATGACTTGATTCTTGGTCGTGCTCATAGAAACTATATTGGTCAGATCACTATAGAACTCTCACAAGCTGGTAATACGACGAACGAAGTGATCAATCGATTGACGTTCTTTGCAACCATCATTGTTCCTCTGGTAAGAAAGTTCTTTCATGCATACGAATATATCTAATTATCATAAAATAGAACCTTGTCGGTGGTCTATTTGGTATGAACGTTCATGTCCCTGGCCAAAACGAAAATGACCTTACGTGGTTCTTTTGGATCGTGATGGGTATGCTGATCTATGTTGTAGTCATGATGGCTATTGGCAAACGAACAGGCTTCCTTTAATTTACTACCTAATACTATATAGACTTTACATATATCCTCCATAATAAACAACTTGGTTCCTGTCTTTTTTTTTTTTTTTTGCCTGATCTTTTATGCTACAGTGTAACACATGACGTTGAATTCGTTGTTTCAAATCCCTTTCTCTCTTTCTTTTTCACATTTATAAACACACACAGAGATATATTGCTAATGATGGCAGGCTTAAGAAGTAAGCTGGGTTGCATAAAAAATATTGTTCCCTGGAAAAGTTTATTTTACTGTTACTAATATTCCTTTAGCGTAACTAGAAAAGATGGAGACATTTCAGTTTATTTGACAATTTCAATATATTTATAGAATCATTGCTTTAGCATTCGTTCTGGCCGTTGGATTTCTGTTGGTTATCTTATCTTGCGCTCTTTATTAGTAAGTGTGCTTTTTTGTTCTGGCTTATACAACTTAACTCTTTTTATGATAGCAACTGGTGGCCTTTATTAGTTGGTACAAAGACAAAAAAAAAAAAAAAAATAGGTGAAAAGAGAGAGAAAAATAATCATTTTTGAATGTAGTTGCCACGTACATTCTAGCACCTCTACCGAACGCTATCTGTGGAAAATGCGCAGGTGAAGACGATCTCACTACTGCTTATAATAGGTTTGTTGTAAAGGTTTTTAGATGAAAAACTAATGATACATTTAGTGGAATGATTGACGCAGGGCATTTTATTACTGGCATGTTTATCGTATCCGGATTCTGTTTACCTCTTGTTCTTGCCCATGCCGAAGTGGTAAATTAAAAAAGAAAAAAAAAAAAAAAAGCTAAAGCAGATTGTTCGGATAGATCACAGTTCCAGCTATGATCATGAGTATTGCTGGAGGAATACTTGTTTATGGAACAAGTAAGATGATAGGTTTTATCCTTGTTGATATGACTAATCTTTTTCACTTGTAGTCATTACTTATACTCACTTCTTTTCAAATCAAGGACAAGAATATGATTGATAAAAACAACACTGGGAGGAAATATTTACATTTTTTTAATTGATTAAACATTGTTCTATGAAAACGATGCTACGGATAGACTCTGATATTCACTTAGGGATTTTGGAAATGGCTATATTCACAGAGTCAATATCTTGAACATTTTAACTTTTTTTTTTTTTATCTTTACCTGCTGAGGAGATTGAGATAAAAACAACAGATCAACTTCAAAATTCCCGACGACTTTAAGCACATCTTGATCCTTTTTCTTTTGACGATGACGCTCCTTGAATGATCTTGCATACCAAGCATTAAAACAGCTAAAGCCAGCCTGATAACGAGCTCGAGTACAAGCCGGCGCCATATGAGCCAAAGCAAATCGAGCCTGACCAATCGCACCATCTTCCTTGTTGACATAACCCGAGAGGGATTCCTTTTTCTTTTTGCGAGAGGAAAAGAGCCGAGAGAACGGTTTGCGTGTCTTCATGACATAGTCCGGTCGTACATGTAGTGAGAGGGTGATGATCATGTCTGGATGTGTATCGATCACACACTCATAATCAAACTCGATGTTCTGACTGAGCACTTCGTACCTGGACATGTATTCAAACCGACCATCACTAACAACGCAGCGAACATACGTTCGGTCCTTGGGAAGCGGCAGAAGGATATCCTGGACACTGTTGACATGTAAATAGAGTTTGCCATAGCCAGTAAAGGCGGATGGAATGCTCATTCGACGAACGATACTGGATGACCTTGGCTGCGTCGCGACACGTGCCGGTTTAGCTGGTTCAAGTTTGGGTAACGGAACTTCTTCCTTTTCTTCTTCAGGCTCGTATTTTTCATGTTCGAACTTTTCAAACTTTTCAAACTTTTCAAACTTTTCAAACTTTTCGAACTTGAGGTTGTCGAGCTTGAGATTATCGAATTTGAACTCTTTGTATTCGAATTTGAAGTTGTCAAATTTGAGTTTTTCATATTGTATCTCTTCTGATTCGGCCTTTTCATTTTCGACCTCTTCTGGTTCAATCTTTTCATATGGGGCCTCTTCTGATTCAATCTCTTCTGATTCGACGTTTTCACATTCCACCTTCTCAGATTCGGCCTTGAGACTGTCCTGTCTTGCCTTCCTTTCTGCATCTAGTTCGTTCAAATTGAATTCACGGTCCAAGATGGCTGCCCATGAACTCATGCTCATGCTCCATGCCGCTTTTTGGCTTCCACTGCGTCGCTTCGTTTCTCGAGGAATTGCTTCGTCCGATATCAAATAACCGCTTGTTAAGGTCGTACTTGTCGAAAACTTGGTATCTATGGGCGGGATCGATTTTATCTCGTCGCTCTTTTTGTAGATTGGGGCTGTCAGGATTCTTGCTGCTGTCAAAGCCTTGTATTGAACTCCTTCGTCCTCATCATCATCGTCATCGTCAGAAGTGGATACCAGTGAGTCTTCCTTGTTGAAATCTTTGGTGTTTTCACCTTTGGATTCAATGATTATTATACCTGTATCTTTTGTGCTATTATGTTTATCATCTTTGTCGCTATCAATGATATTTGCATCATTGTTAACGTCACTTGCGTCGTTATCAATGTTATTTGTTTCATTGTCAATGATGTTTGCGCTTTTATCAATAACATTTGCGTTGTTGCCAATAGCATTTGCGTCATTATCAGTATTATTTGTATCGCTATTTGTATCATTTGCATCGTTGTCAATGTCATTTGTGTTGTCATGTATACCATTTGCGTTGCTATCACTGTTATTTACATCGCTGTCAATATCATTTACATAATTATCAAAAACGTCTATGTCGCTATCAATATCCTTTCCATAGTTATGCATATCATTTGTACTGCTATGCATATCAGTTGTTGTGTCGTCATGGATATCATCACTTGTTATGTTGTCAAGAGTATCATTTGGTGTATCATCATGAACAATAGTAGTAGTAATAGTATCATCATTTGTTGTTTTAGTAATGAGGGTAGTAGTATCAATTTTAGGAGTATTATTTTCTAGGGCACCATTGTCAAAACTACAGCTACTATTATTACTGGTTGTTGTCGTACAAGGAACTTGATTTACTGGTCTCCTTTTAATGGTCGAAACCTTTTCTAATTTTTGATAAAGAGGATTATTTTTGACAGCTGATTTCTTTGCCAATTGTGCCACTTCCAACTGTCTCTTCTTTTGGTCTGCTACGATCTGTTCTTCTTCCGAGAGTACCTTCATCTGAGTCTCCTTCACTCGTCCCTTTTTAAAGTACTGCTGTTCCGATGCCTTTCGGTCAAGACTACTCATGGTGGACGTATCATCTGCCAACAGGGCTTTTTGTTTGAGCAACTTGAACTGATTTGGTGTACTATAGTTTGGACGAACTAATTTTTTCAATTGGACCTGTGGATTGACATCTTGTGGCAGGTAACCCAGATCGTTTGGCGTCTGAGTTGATACACCCTTTTCGAGCAGGATATCTACAATGGATTGATGCCCCAAGAAACAAGCAAGATGGAGGGTTGTATTGTTACATTGACCCCAAAACCTTGTATCAAGATCGTAAAGAGTGGATTGCTATAAATAAATTCTTAATTTTTTTTTTTTTTTTTTGCTCGCCTATTTATATAAATACCTTTATAAGAAAACTAATGAATCGAATATCTCTGTGTTTATAAAAGTAAAGTAGACTGAATTGAACTGCGGCTAAAGGCTGGAATTGGGAGCCAAGATATCCGAGTTCAGAGAGAGTGTGTTCGAGATGAGCAACATCTTGATCATGTCGAATGGGTGTCCATAATAGCTCAGGTTCCATACTGAGTAATGATTTAGCTTTAATTATGTCTGTATTTTCTATTGCTGTGATCCAATCTGATAGTAATTGGGATATTTTTGATGAAGAAGACATGCTCATGATATTTTAAATGCGGAGAGAGAAGAAGGAAAAGAAAAAGAAAAATAGAAGGAAAGAAAGTAATCATTTCAATGTTACACTTGCCATGTTTGGTAATGGATCACTTTTGTTGGTTCAAGGTACAGTCTCTCCAGTGCAAAAATTGTCACATTAGTGCAACAAAAATTAGCTTGAATTGAGGAGAGAGGGATGGATAGGAGAGGAGCTTTGCACTCGGAGGAAAAAAAAGTACATAATTGATGGAGCAAAGAATTTCTATTTGCACTGTTACTACAAGAATTTTCAAAAAACATCTTCAACTATCAATTCTAATGGTTCATTAAAGAACCAGGATGCTTATCGTATCATATGATTGCATCTTCAACGGTCTTGCAATAAAATCGGACTGCGTTCCTGTTGTTCACTTGTTATGAACTTGCTACTGTATTTTATAATCCAAAAGATGTTTGGTATTTTAAAACATTAAACTTACAATTCATTCCTGGTAGATTTAAGAGATCAATTCAGTCTGGCGCACATATAAAGATGTATAGAATGAGCTTCGACTGTCTCTCTGTATATTCTGCACATATATTCACACGAAATGGATTACAAGTCTAATTTTCAATCTGATATTTTTTTTAAATTGTAACCTGGTGTTGAGTTTGAAAACTGTCCCCTTTCAAATGAGCTAAAAAGTTTGCATAATTTTGACCCAAGGTTTTGTTTCAAAAGCGTGAGATATAAACAAGAGGGTGGCAAGTCTGAAGAAAGTTGCTTCATTTTGTTCTATTGTACTAAGTCAAAGAAAGGATACAAAAAAAAGAAAATTGCTGTGAACGCGAAAGCTTCGATGAAGCAAAAAAAAAAAAAGACTATATATTCTCTCTTTGCCAAAAAAAAGGTACACAAAGGACTTTTTATTGCAATACATAATCATACTGCACTCCATCAAATGAGCTACCCGTCATGGCTTTCTTTACATTGTTTTCAAAAGATTTTCTATTGGTTTTCAATACTTCGGCGGCAACTAGAAAAAGGGAATAAGTAGGTATAAATACATCTATAGTATAAATATATACCTTTGTTTAACGGATCATCCGCGTTAGGCTCAAGGAATAAATACTGTAAGCCGACAAGAACAGCTTGTAGAGAGAGAACAGGTTTCCAATCTTCACGCAAGATGTTCAAACAGATGTTTCCTTCCAAGTCAATGTTGGGATGGTAAATTTTTTGGATGCAGTGAACCTTGGGTGGTTCATGAGGGTAATTGTTACTAATGTCAAAAGTAAATTTGAATATGCCTCCTTTATAGAAGCCTATAGAATAATGAATAAACATGATTAGCAAATAATATAGTCATTACCTTCGTCTGGATGAATAGAAACATTGAATTTAAGAATGTGAGAAGGATCAGGAAAGTCTAACTGAATGGTATCTGGAATGTCTAATTCTGCCAAGTCTAAATCATACATTTTTAATCAATATATTGTTCCTTTTTTATTATATATATATATGCATATATAACCTTTTTGTACACGTATTTGAGCAGCTGTTGTCCTAGGTTTCTTTTTCTCTGCTTCAGCTTCTTTTGATTTCTTTCCCCAAATTGAATACATGTTACAACTGAAAAAAAGAAAATATATACATAGCAAACATTACAGTTTAGATTTACATTGGCCAATCAAATTATTTCCTGTTTAGCCAATAGCATAAAAGCAACCATCCACCTCCGCCTCAATGTCTGGGCCTTAAAGGTTAAGTCGGATAAAGATTTGGTACGACTGAAAAGTAAACCAATCAATGGGGTGCATTGGTTTATTCTCATTTGGGCTGTCATCCTTAGTCATTTGATATGATGATATTATTATTTATTAAGTAAAAAAAGAAAAGAGAGATAAAAAGTAAAAAAAGTATTTACATACAACACAGAAAAAAAATATATATAAATATATACACACGCACACAAAATGTTACAGAAAAAAGGTCTAGATTTCTTCAATCAAGTCCATCTCCAGAACCTTTCCGTGAATAGCCAAATAATCCTTGATGGCTTCAACATTTACAAATAAATTATATTTAATGAGTCCAAGGAAGCTTCTTTCCATCATGTTGATATCTTTTGAGGAATAAGCATAATCTGTCATCACCACCATCGCTTGACTTGTCAGGCAGGTGCCTGTTTCAGATAGAAATTTGGATGCTGTAAGGATAGCAGCTAAAAATAAGCGATAAGGTGTATCCACTTGTCCACATGCATGACTTGGTAAACATGATTTTAATCGTTGAAGATAAATAAGCGAAACTAAACAGACACAAGGTGATAGCTTTGATCGTTTGAATACATTAGCAATGAATTCATTTAATGGTGGTAGTTGTCTATTGTTGTATCGATATTTATTATACATCTTCCGTCGATTATTGTTGTTTATAGGTAACAATGTTGTCGCTGTATTGGTAGTAAAGGCTATATTTATAAATCATTAATACATATTTAAATATACTATCTACAACTTACAAAGAAGAGCCTCTGGGCTTTTAGATGAAACAGTAGCAAACATTGATAATGATTATAATAAAAAAAGAAAAAAAAGAGTGTGAAATTTATTTAACTGGGAGTTTTAAAGTTAAGCCAGGTGTCAATTTGTAATCTACACCAATCAGATTGAAGTTCTTATCTTTTATAGAAAAAAGAAAGACAGAGAGAAACAAGTGTAGAAAAAAAAATAAAATAAAAACTTTATGCATTGATATGATTATTATTGGTTATTTTTTTACTGCTTTTGAGTTGAGCGTTTCTTTTTGTAATCATTGATGGCAGATTTAATAGCATCTTCAGCAAGCACTATAATACAGTTAATAATATGACAACATTACGCTTTTCTACAACTTACTCGAACAATGAAGCTTGACAGGAGGCAAGCATAATTCTTTAGCAATTTCTGTGTTTTTAATTTGACTTGCTTGTTCAAGTGTCAGGCCTCTAACACGTTCTGTCATAAAACTACTAGAAGCAATAGCAGAGCCACATCCAAATGTTTTGAATCGTACATCTACTATTTTTCCTGTAGCATCATCCACTTTAATCTGTAATTTCATCACATCACCACAAGCAGGTGCTCCCACTAAACCTGTGCCTACATCTGTATCTGTCTTAGGAAATGATCCTACATTACGAGGACGTTCATAATGATCAATAACCTAAAATAGTTTTAATATTGTATATTCTCAATTGTAAGTTTGTCAATCAACCTTTTCATGATAGAAACGAGTGCCTGAGATAGATAATGGTTTTTGAATAAGTCTTGTTGATTTTGTTAAAGTTGTAAGAGTATTTCGCAGCATTTTAATTTTTAAAGAAAAAAGAGAGACAAAAGAAAAAGGAAAAAAAAAAGGGAATTTATATAGGCTGGGGTGCTTGATTTAAATCTGATTAACTTTTTAAAAAATTTGACTCGGGCCTCTTTGTGCTTGATTGGCTGTCAAGACCGAGTTAGCCCGCTATGTTGTAGTGTGAACTTGTGACAGGATTTAAGCGGTGTGTAACAGAGATGCTTATAAAGATAATTCAATTCTTCTTGAATCAATGTAGTATCTGACTTTTTGTTGTATCATTCTTATTCGATAATAAACGAAAATGTAATCCATTCAGAAAGTAGCCAAGCTAGCCAGAGGTTGTTACAACGGCTGGATGGCACCAAAAGGGTAGTAAGTGCCTGTCAAAGAAAAACTTAATTAGTATTCCGACCTTCTTTATATCTACCTAATTTCTTTTTGCTATGAGCTCCTCCTCTCATTTCTAATAAAAAGGATAAAATAAAGACTTATCACTTCTCTACTTTTATTCTTACATCTTTGCAAAAACTAATAACAGCCACAACTGCAACCAATGCCTTAACTCTTTAAAATTAATCAAGTTTTACGGCATGATCCAAACCGATGGTGTGGGCGTCTCAGTAATCAAACAGAATAAGGAAACAGCCAAAGGTGGTACACGGGATACCAGTGGAAGAAGTTCAGCAAAGAAGGATAAGGAATTCACATACATTCACAGAGTACCACTGGTAAGTGTGTGTTTATAAATCCTGGATGCAGAGACCTGTTGCACTGCATGCACGAAAATTGCAAAGCTGAAAATGATGGCAATCTTTATTGCTATACAAGTAACCAAAGAACTAAGGAAACCAAGTCAAGAAAGTTTAGAAAGCTGCAGCAAGATACGAAGCCTGAATTAGTGAAACAATGGGAAACACATCTCTTCAAATATCCAGCTTCGACAGTCGATGTTACAAAGTTTCAGAGTACTTGAAAGCAAGTTCCAGCGCAAATGAGCCACTGCTCAATTATTACACAAATGCAGACAGTCAACATCAGGACCAGAATATCCTTCCATTTAGAAAGCTCAAACTATCAGCTTTTATAACCAAAAGCAGCCTAATAGCCGGCTTTCGAAAATGCTAAGAGAAAAATTTGCCAAGAATTACATTCTTGTTATAGGGGATTGGGTTGCCAATAACGTCAAGTTCCGCGAGCCAATACGAGGGAAGGGTATGCGAAGGATGCCAAGTAAGCAAGAATTTCCTGTACATTTTATTGAACACAAAACATCCTCATTTTGACCTAAATGCAAAGTCACGTGTTTGATATAAATCATTATAATAGAGTAGAGCATGCATTCTACTTCACATCCCTCTATCACATCTGATAAGAGTGCTGACAACATTGGTAAATAACCGCACTGATGGTATTAATATTCCCTATAAAATTCTTACACAAACTTAATTTAATAATCTTCAGCTCTTTTTAGTAAAGAATCTAATTTGCGAGCCATCGACTTTACTGCCTTTTTATAATAACAAAGCTGAATACAGCACAAAGACGGAAGCTGCAGAAGTTTATGAAGGCTCCAAATTCACGACCATTTTGACGAGCCAAAGCTCCAACAGCCGAGTGCCATGGGCTCTTATGGTAAATCTCACCTTTTTTTGAAAAATGAACACCTTTTCATAGGTTTTTTTTCCAGGTGCACAAATCAAAAATGTTTGAAGCCTTATCGATTGTGGAACAGAGACTTGGCGGCAGTGTTAAATTTCAGGGACATCATGCACAGCCATAGACAAGGACTTGGTCGTCCATCCAGATTTGCAAGATAAACATTCAAACGTTCTTCTACTACGAGTAACGACAATTTGCAACTCAAGCACTTCCGTTCTACACCTCCCGATGACGGCCGCACTTCTGCCTGAGGGAATGCTTACTGGTAGAGTAAACGATGATGCAGGTAAATTATATTTGACTCTCTTCTTTGAAAAATTACTAACCTTTTGTCCAAAATTCCTTTTTTTGTTTGTCTGAATTTAAAGTAACAAACGAAGTGTCTTTTTGGTAATATCACTTTGTAAAAATGTATCAACCAATCATTTATTGATATTCGTATAAAGTATCTATTGTTCCCTATTAAAAAGTTAAAACGATTGTTTCAGGTTCTCGTTGTTGTTCCTGTGAGTGATCATTTCTTTTTTTTTTTTTTTTTCTCAGTCTGAGTATGATCTATAGTTCATGTATTCAAAATACCGCACAGACAAGTGTGTCCTTCTCTCTCTTTTTTTTTAGTTCTTTAATAAAAAATATAAACATTTTCCCTATATGCTGTCAAAGGACTTGTCACCTACGAATGCACCTTCAAGTTCTATTTCCATTACAACAAAAGCAAGTCCCATCATCAAAACATCCACTCAGTCTAATCCGGGCTTATCCTTCTTTTGTCAGCCCATTGTCTCATTATCAAAACCAGCTAAACCTGCAGCTCAGCCGATGGTAGTAAGCCGAATTAACTTGCCCATCTCGCGACCTAAAGAAGAGGAAGAAGAAGAAGAAGAAGGAGAAGGAGAATACAAGAAACCAAACTTTAACCCGGTACCAAATAAGATGGGTATTGGCATAGGCACCTTTATGCTGAGAGGCATCCTTTCACAGCAAAAGGCTCTTGATGAAGCAAGAGTGCATAGAAGAGTAAGAAAAAGATGGATACTACGAATAAATATTAATTTTTCATAGATTGAAGACTTGGAAATCGAAAAGAAATCACTACTCAACTTGAACAAGACGCTCGAAAGTGTCGTCAAGGAACAGACAAACACGATCATCGATTTACGAAAGAGACTTGCTGCGTAATATATATATAATAGATGATAAAGATGATTTATAACTAATCTCTTTAGTGTAGAGTAGAGAGACCACTCGTGCCTGACTTAGATACAGCTCCGAGCAAGAGCGGAATAATGGTATATTATATGCATACATGTTTTTATTCAAAAACTTACACTTGTTAAATAGTCATCACATGAGGAAGAAGAAGATGCGGCGTTTGAGAAAATACGAACGATGCTAATACAACTTATTCAACAAGCTCAGTCGGCTGTCTCGATTACTGCATCAGATGATGATTCAGGTACGCACTTTTTTGCTTTTTATAAATGCTAAAATTTGTTTATGTGTGTAGGACATAAAAAGGTAATCAAACCAAAGAAACCATTCACACCTCCGACTTCACCTACACCCAATAATAATTTGCATCGAACGACGTCTAAAACATCTATACACAGTCAATCATCACATCGAACCACATCCAAACCGTCAAATAGTCCAACACTACATCGAACGACATCAAAGTCGTCTATAAACAGCCAATCTTCCACCTTGTCGAAAAGACCATCCAAATTCAATATTAACAACAAAGCTAGCAAGACACCTCAAGTGAAAAAGTGGCAAAATTGATTTTTATTGAAAAAATACCCTTGTATATGTGATACCCGTTCCCCCCCTTTTTTTATTATTATATTATATATAAATCTGCCCACTTGTTTTTTTTTTTTGGAATATATGCTGAATGATGTATATATTTATTTTGTATATAAAAAGAGAGAAGAGAGGGGTAAGCAGTGGACGAGATATCAATACACAAAATATTACAATGAAAGAAATACAAATTTAGAGCTTATTAGTAGAAGGATTGACATTTTGACGCGGCCAGGTGTATCCACTTGTATCGCGATGATAACCATACTTTTTGACAAACTCATCTAGTTCCTGAGGACCACGTGAGCCATAAGGATACTTTTTGATATCGACGTCATCATCATGACGATCAATCTTGTGAAGCAGCGGTGTAAAGATATTCCAAGCCGCGGTAAGTTCGTCATCACGGACAAAGTTGGAGTGATCATTACGGAGGACATCGAGGATAAGGGATTCATATGCGTCTGGGATAGCGAGATCTGTATAACGCTCGTGGTAGGACAAGTCGAGATCAGTTTGGATCGTTTGGTATGACAAGCCGGGCTGTTTGTTATTGAACTTCATATAGACGGCTTCCTTGGGTTGAATGCGGATGACAAGTTCGTTGCGAGGTGAGTCGCCGTAGAGGTTACCTGCCACTCGGTGGAACTGGAGACGGACCTCGACCTTGGCCTCATTCAGGGCCTTACCTGCCTTCAAAATAAAGGGCACACCTTCCCATCGCTCGTTGTTGACAAAACAGACAGCCGCGGCAAAGGTGGGTGTCAAGCTGTCCTTGTTCTTGAGCGTCTCGTCTTCGAGGTATCCCGGTTTGCCATCGGCCGCGACGTATTGGCCCAGCAATGTGTCTTCAATCTTGATAGGAGAGATACATTTGAGCACCTTGACCTTTTCGTCACGGATGGCTTCAGCGTCCGTAGAGATGGGTCGTTCCATTGCGACCAAGGTGAGGACTTGGAGAAGATCTAAATTATCAAGTTAGTGGTAAACTCGAAATAATGAGCACGGGTATACTTGCGGTTCTGAATCACATCACGGATGATACCAAATTCATCAAAGTATCCACCGCGTCCTTCGGTTCCAAAGGGTTCCTTGAATGTAATTTGGACGTTATCGATGTAGGTACGATTCCAGGCATGTCCAAACAGGACATTGGCGAAACGAAGGTTCATGATGTTCTTGACCATTTCCTTTCCGAGATAATGATCGATACGGTAGATCTACATGTGTGTATATCAGATAAGCTGCATCTCCACATACTATAGATATATATATGCGTACCTCGTTCTCAGTAAAGAGGGCACCTAATTCACGACCCAAATGGGCTGAACTCTCTGAATCCATACCAAAAGGCTTTTCAACAACCAAACGGTTGGATCCTTCGGTTGTGTAGACGTTGCGCTTAATACCTTGAGCGACAGGAATGAAAACTGAAGGAGGCAAGGCCATATAATACACGCGATTCTTCTTCTTGACTGCTCTCTCCTTTTCAGATTGTTCGATGGCCTCTCTCAACTTTTGGAAGGAAGCGTCTTCGTCATACTGACCCGAGACGTAAAAGGTCATCTTTTTGAATTGCTCGAGTTTATCAGCATCTTGAATCTTGATGTACTGCGTGATACGGTTGATATAATCCTCATGTGACATCTTGGTGCGCGCGTAACCAATAATTCTCGTGTTCTCTGGTAAGAATCCGTTGCGATAAAGGCCAAATAAGGCTGGGTATGTCTTTTTTTTGGCAAGGTCGCCAGAGGCGCCAAGAACTGTGAGCTGTTTTAGTATTAAAAGATTCAACATAACATATATGTATAAATACCTATAATGGTGACTGAACCATTGAGTTCTTTGGATACTTGTTCACAGAGTACTTGGACAGGAGAAGTCATTTTTGTTTAAAGAAGAAAAAAAAAGAGAGAGAAAAAGAAAAAGAAAGCTTAAATTTATTGCATTATATTCGCCCCAAATAATTTTTTTTGAAAACCTTTATCGTCAATTTTTATCCCGGAAGTTACACTTGTTATAAATTCATTAGACATCGTCTTAGTCATCACAACCTATTCACGCGTATATTTGATCATTGTAAACATAGCTTTTATTTTTTTTCTTTCTCTACTGTAAAGCTATACTTTTGTTTATTAATCATTTGTAATAAGTAAAAAAGGGGGAAACGGAAAAACCAAAGACAGCCCGCTAATTCTCCGAGCTATCCCATTATACGCGTCATCTATTTATTCAAATACGGAAACCCCAAATCTCTAACTCTATACATTCAAATTCTGGTCTTGGTGTTAATCGTTCATTATCAAATGTAGGGCATGATTGACTGTATCCTTTCTCTAATTCCGAGTTTATCCATAATCCAAAGACACCCTCACTAATGAAAGTATGAGTAATAGATAAAAGAGATTTATAATAGATTACCCTCCACCAATGGCAATGAAGTCTGGTTCTGAAAGTATCATGTAATCATTTTTTCCTGTCCATTTGTAAGCTGTAATTTGACATTCCGGTGTTTGCCATTTCCATAGAAAACTTTTTTTATGCAGCTTAGAATAAATATCTAAAGAGGCACGACTTACCATTCACCTGTGCCATAGTAACGCGTACCTGGTTTTAATGATTCGTTAAGATAAGCACCAAAGATCTAATAAGAAATATGAGTCTATGTATTTGTATAAAGATAACCATACATTATTGTCAGCATCTTTAATCACTAGTACACAGGGCCCTTTGTTATTTTTGACAAGATGATATAGTGTCGATAGACTGATACCATGTTGATCCAAACTATACAGCAGTGCCATCTCAGGAGCAAGTCTATATCGTCGAGGTAGATGCACCCTTAACTATTATAATTTCAAAATGTCAGTTTTATAACTTGTACTTTATTGCAATTACCTTGTCTGCTATTTCGTCTGTCAATACAATATCAGTATCCTCCCTTCTTCCAGTTAATTGTATTCCCATATTGCTCCTCTAACGTTTTAACTCTCTCTTTTCTTATTTAGTGTCTCTTAATCTATTTTATAGGGAAACAGACAAGAGGGAAAAAAGAGTGAGAGAATCATGTATTTAATCCCCGCTATACTTTCTTTTTTTTTTCCCTTTTTCTCTTGTTTCTTTGAATGAGTCAACCGTTTAAATATTTCGATCAACAAGTAGCTGGTCACGATAAACTGATGCTCTTGACAACTTCGACTGATGACTTAATGATTATAAAACCATGCAAGCCAAAAGAGGTCAACTTTTATCAAGACGCACAAAACTACCTAGAGTTCCTTGACTTTCTTCCTCAGTGCTACGGTACGTTGCGTGCGGCCACTGAGCACGATCTTTCAATACTTGAAACATCTGAGCTCGTGGGTGATTCAACAAACTGTTACCTGATGGAATCTGTTCAGGGACTTGACCAACAAGAACAAAATGTCTGTTTGGAAAATATTCTTCATGGCTTCACTCGGCCGTGCATCATGGACTTAAAGATGGGCTCATTATTATATGATGCAGATGCCTCAGAGGAAAAAAGACAAAAGATGATTTCTCAGTCAGTCAATACGACCTCGAGTACATTAGGATTAAGAATATCTGGATTAAAGGTATGCATTTAAAAAAATGGTGCCAGACAATTAATTGAATCATAGGTGTATGACACAGTGGAACACCGTTACGCAACCTATGAAAAACGATTTGGAAAGACGAGAACAATCGAGAACACAGTCGAAGCGATCATGGCCTTCTTGTTTCCAACATCAGCCTATGGATTAAAAACCGAAGAATACAGAAATTACTCGAGCGAGGATCAACAAAAGAAAGGCGAGCCTATACCCAGTAAATATATGCGTTGGATCATCGAGTGCTTCATTGACACATTACAAGAGATGAAGGAAGCCATTGTCTCGATGCCAAGCTTGCAACTGATCGGATCATCCTTGTTATTTGTGTATGAAGGAGATAGAGCAGCTGCAGAAAAGACATGGAAGTACATGCTCGATGAGGATCGCCAAAAGGGAAAAGGAAAGCAAACAGATGAAGAAGAAGAAGACGATAACTTGGCGCCCAAGATGTGCGATTTGCGGCTAATTGATTTTGCACATTCAGATTGGCATTCTGAACGACAGGAACAGGATCCAGATCTCGTCAAGGGATTTGATAATATCATTGACATTTTATATCAATGCTTAAAAATACAACGTCAAGAAAAACTGTAGAAATCATAATTCATTTATTCTCATTTTGCATTTAATTAAAAACATGTCACATTTGTCTTCAATTTTTTTCATTTACATTCAATTAAAACCGGGGGAACAGGCGGCGAACCACCCATTCCCCCAAAGCAAAAATTGTGGCCTCGAGACACCCGAAGGTGTTCGCAGCAGGGCCGATCGTCGCAGTGCAATGACGACCAATCCCACTGTACATCCAGGGTTCTTGAGTCCAGATGCACGACCCAGGTAAGTATGAAGAACAAAAAGATGCAATTTCTCTCGGCTTTTATACTTTTCAGGGAGTGACTGCTTTGATGATGCTGAGAAATAAAGTGTTTCGTATTCAATCCCAGTTCGCGTTTTTGTGCACGCGCATTAGACGCGCCCATCTTTTATATTTTTGGGTTCCCTCTTTTTTTTTTTATAGTGTATATATGGTGTCTAATGAACAAGTAGAGTTTCAGGCGCCTTTGCCTGTCAATGGCTCTAATTCAACAACAGAATTTGCAACTCCCATTTCAATTCCACGCACTAACTGTAAGTTGGGTTGTTAATGAGAAGAAAGGACTTTTTGACAATAATGTATATAGTGATTCAAAGCAGACTTTCACATTATATTACTTGTATATGCAACGATTTAGAAAACTATGAGAGAGACAAAACTCAACAAAAGACAAAGACCTTACTCAAGTTTTATGACAACACTCCACTCCTAGATATCCAAGTCGCTCGAAGGTTCACGTCACTTCTTATGACAGCAATGAACCACAATAAAATAGAATCAATAGTCGATATGGAGAAGTTCAGCAAGATCATCAAGTTGCTTGAAAACAGTATTACCATATGCGCCGAATTGGATCTTATTGAACACTATTCTCAAACGAGAAACAAAACAGCTCTGTTTTCGATGCTGAATCTTTTAAGCGAAACGATCGAGATCGCTGGTATCTTGTTTGACATATTGATTCATTGTCGTCTGGACAAACAGTTTGTTTCAAGACACCTGATTACGCATTGTCTACACTTTATCAAGAACCAATTGGATTATATCGTATACCCTTTTACTGACTTGAACGAGTTTGAAGAACAGTCATCATGTAAATACAAATACAAAAAAAAAGTGAACCAAACACTTATTGTTTTGATAGTTAATCTCAACACACGCACTGTCTATGATCTAATTCGTGAATCTCCCAATGAGAAAAGACTCGTGTCCCTGTTTATTCCAAACATCACCAAGTTTTTGCGTCGAGCACACCAACTGATCCAACGCGAAGAATTGGACGATGATGTTCTCGTGACAGTTGCCTATATCAGCATGGCACCCTTTTTTCATGACCAGTCCGAGCAAACGGAATGCATATTGGAAGACAGTGGCACGTTCAGTCCTTATGAACAGCTCAAATTTAGCGCACTTGATATACTTAAACACATCTTTAGTTCTTATCCGCAGCACAGGAGATGGATTTTTGAAGAAATATTGACGAGTTTAGGCTCATTGACAGCTATGAATGATAAACGAAGCTATCGGCTACACGATAACCAGTCGATTCATGTGATTAGTGCTCTCTTTATGGAACTTGTTCAGTGTAGTTCAAATGTGAGCAACCTGAGTGGATATAGAAACTGGTTTAGAAAATGGAATATAAAGTATCAAAAGGCACAAAAGAGCAATGATACAGAAAAATTGAAATTATTGGACGATCAGTTGTTGACTAAGGCTGCTAATGCTTGGAGGCATGGTACTGAAGCTGCTGCCAATAGTGCATCGTTCTTTTTAGAGTTTCTTATGTCAAAGTAAGAAAATGTACAAAAAGAAAAAACAATCTTTATTCAAGTCATATGCATAGGTGCAAGTCAAAACGAAAGGATGTGTATTCTTTGACCGAGTACAGGCAGTTGTTATCGAATACACTTGAGGATGTGATGAAGGTGTTTAATGACCCAGCTTGGCCAGTAGCTGAACTTATCATAAAAGTGTTTAGCCGTATTCTAGTAAGAAAGAAAAAACGCTCTTCTTGTGTGTAAATATTAATTCTTTTTATATATAAAAAGATAGCATTGCTTGAAGGAGACCACTCAGATCAATACTTGAAAACATTGGCGGTTGAATGGTTAGGAATCATTGCCTGTAAGATCAGAACAAGCCAGGAACTGCTTTCAGGTGATAACACAAAGGTATACAGACCAGACTGGATCTTTGACTTGAATGATAAGCTGCCTACTCAAATCAACAAGGATACATCTGTTGAATCAATCGAATTACTGAATCAGTGTCGTAAGAAGCTACTGGATAGCGTCATGGAAGAACATGCTGGTTCGAGTGTCGTACAGTTTTATCTTGTCAGCTGGGGCTTTACCGAATCCGTCTTGTGGGCAAAGGCAAATAAGGGGTGGAAGGTTGACAAAAAATCAATGCTGGAAAATATATCGACGACAGAAGATAAAAAGACTGATATGGTACAAGAAGTAGATGATCAAGATGTGACAATGGATCAAGAAGAAAAATGGCCTTTAGCGGCTGTCCATATCCTACAGGATACCTGCAAGTATTACTGGCTAAGCTCTCTAGGACTAGATTGCAGTTTTCCTCAGCCAAGCAAGCCATATTGTTTTCCTGAGATGTCAAGGTCGGACGTGGCGAGTATCGTCGAACTCTTAGCGTCTCGACAGACACTCTATACAAGCTATAACTTTATCTTGTCCGAACTCTTTACTTGTTTGGATAAAGATGCTGTCTATCTTCGAGTCAAGTCATTAAAAGCCATTGGAAGAATATCAATGCAAGTTCCAGAAATATTTGAGGAGGTAAAACGAAAAAGAGTTTTTGTAATGTGCGAAAAATAGCCTTACATCCTGTAGAGTCGAGTTTACACCTCTGTGGTTCAAAGGGTGCATGACAATTCTCCTTCAGTAAGAGATGCTGCTATTGAAATAGTTGCAAGGTATTTGAGTCAACAGCATGATGTCCCACTTAAGCTATATGAGCTTGTGAGCGGTAGAATTATGGTAAGAATACAAAATGCATATATTTAAAAGGTTCTTATTCTCTATATACACATACAAGGATACTGCCACCAACGTTCGTAAACGACTAGTAAAACTACTGCGAGAGCTTTACTTCAAGTTTACTGATGAAGAGGTCAGGGTGGACATTGCGTCAAAGCTTATTATGCGTATTGCTGATAATGAAGTGTCTATCAGCGATTTGGCATTAAAGGCAACACAAGAGATATTGTTTATGCCTTTCAAAGAAGTAGAAAAAGATGGAAATGATTACTTTGGTTACTCGTACGCAAATGCTCCTAAACAGCGAAAGCAAAGGATCAACAAGTTGACAAAGGTGATTACAGGAGCTGTAGCTAAACTAGATCCCTCTCTAAATGGCCAAAACGCCGCTTTATCTCAGATCGTCCAGAGGGTATGTTATATCATGACGTATTTTTGAAGGTACTAATATATAATAATAGACAATAGACAGAGCTGATGGAAAGCTGAAGGAATGGTACGAAAAGATATTTCAATGGATCATTGATTCTTTATTCGATCAGATGGTTTTGCTGGATGAAGAGGACAATACGACAGAATTTATCAGTTATTTGGCAACAGTGCATTCCTTTATAAAATCATGTCCGGATCTACTGCGAACCACACAAATATCGATGCTACAGCCTTATTTAACCATATCGGAAATAGTAAGTTGTTCCCTCTCTCTATAAGGAATGTGCCCTAACTTGTTTTAATAGGATGACTGGACAAGAGCGTATTACGTGCTGGTAATCTATCGAGATGTGTTGCCAAATATGAAATACCATGAGCGCGGCTTTATTGAAATACTAGAGCGTATTCTAGTACAACTATTGACAACATGTCCATTAGAGTTAACATCAAGCGCCGCTTCTTGTCTATGCGTTATTGTGGACCGAATATCTCGTAGGTATAGTATTCTTATCAAGATTCTCGGTTCCTGCGTGCTAAAGCTACGGCAAGTACGCGATGCCATTCTACAATACTCGGTAACTGAAAAAACATTTACGGGTGCCTTGAAGATGCTCTTACTCTGCGGGCTACTCTGTCAGCATTTTGAATTCGACAAGAGGCGTCAGGAAGAGCCTGTGGCCATGTCAGGGCTCGATGCTGTGTACAGAGGGAGCATTGGAACCTTGATCTTTGACCTTTTACATTTTTTTGCGGGTGACGAAAGGATGAATGAGCTTGGAGAACAAGGAATGACGATACGATTGACTGCTTTACAAGCGCTTGGCTATTTCTATTGCTCCTATCCAACATTTATCATATCAAACACGAGCACTGAGCTGATGGACAAGATATTTAACCAAGGCACTAATGCAATGAAGACGCAGCTAATGCGGGTGTTTCAAGAATTTCTGTCAGCCGAAGATAAGAGAATCGAAAAACGTCAGCATGAAGAAGGAGAAAAAGAAGAGATTATCAACCTTGATATTTTGTTGGGAAATACTGAAGAGTATGCAGAATTGGGAGTCAATGGTTCATTGATGCAGAGATATTTGCCCAAGATCTTGGAGTGTACATTAAACAAGACGTCAGGTCTACTCTATGCTGCCTTTGAGGTTGTATCCTCTGTCATTCACCGTGGGTTAGCTCATCCAGTACTTTGTATGCCTGTGATTATTGCAGCAGAAACTAGTCCTGACGCCTTGCTCCGTACAAAGGCGTATTATACTCATAAATATGCTCATGACAAGTATGGTGTACTCTTGTATATGCAGATGAGTGAATACATAAGCACCTCTTTCCAATATCAAAAGCTTCTATATGGTAGCAACGTGAAAGGTAAAGAATAACCAAATGGAACATGATGTACTCAATTGATATTAGGCTATGGAAAAAGAGGTGGAGACTCTAGAACCGAGTCTGTTCTTGCATTGACATATACAGTCTTGAAAGACAAGACAAAGGCAAAATTCGATTTTATCTATGCATTAATCAGGCCATTCATGTTTGATTTAAAGACCACAGCACCCGAAGAGATTGAGCTTGACTACTTGAAGTACTTGGCAGAGAATTTGATGGTCTTTGATTTCTGTACGACGGATGAATTGCTGTTTGTTGTGTATCATATAGATCGCCTCATCATGACACTCGGAACAGATCTTCTTTCGTTTGTACAGTTTCTAAGGAAACAAGGAAAGTTAGAAGAAGAAGACGAGATGGATCATGACTTGTTGATGGCATCAAAGTTATCTCTAGTTTTATGTATGTTGATGCTGCTTAAAAAGCTATTAATTGAATTATACGATATACCTGACGAGTAAGTGGAATAGACAGGCCATTGTATCATTTACAAACATGTACCTTTAGGCAAATATGTAAATATAACCCAAACAATAAGCATAGATCAAGAGATATAACAAAAGACCTTGAAATGCCACAATTCATTGACTGGGAAGAAGAACTGCTATACTTTAAACACTGCACATTAGATAGACGCACAGGCTTAGATGCATGTAGTAAATTCGAGTATCTCATCATGAATGATACCACTGCTCTAGTTATGACAGATGAAAGTTAAAGTGTGTACACTTTATTCACATTTTACACTGACAGAAAAATGATAATTTCAGACAATAAATAATAATAATTAGAGGCAAAAAAACAATGGTAAAAGAGAGCCCATCAGAAGCAAAAGAACGAGATATAAAAAGAATTAATTAGTATTTCAGTTATTACATTGATATTAAATATTTGCATTATAAAGAAGAGGATTTATGAGAAAAAAAGAGATTATTAATATCTTACCCAAAGTGCATTAAATAGGGCTGGCGGTAACCAGCTCGGAGAAAGAAGAGAAAGAAAAAAAAAAGCAAGCAAAGAGAAACCAAGAGAGTGAGCAAGAAAGAGAATGGATGGAACTAAAGCTTGGTAAGAACCAAACTACCCCAGCTAGCACCGGTACTGTTTTCGATTTTATGATCTATAATAATACATATCAATTTCTTACAAGTGTAAAGAATATAATATACCTTAGGGCTAGCTGAGGAATGGCTGGTCTTACTTTTTGGTCCAAAGAAACAGAAGTCAAGGTCAGACTATTTAAACAAAGTCTCTAACAGCTTTTTCATTTTGTTATAAAGTGCTGACCACATTTATCTTCTATCAAAAACACCAAGTTCATTTTATGTATTATTACATGTTGTCCTTTAAATAATAAAGAAGACATAGGAAATCAACTAAAGTGTTAATTGTTATTGATCTTGTAATGTGTGCGAATAATCTATGAAAAAAGTGTATACATTGTGACACTGACGAGCTGATATTCTGATTGGACAGTGTTCTTATACGCATTATTTAGCTTGTCTCTCTCTGTCTTTTATCATTTCAATATTCTTTTTTTTTTTATATGAATAACTTGCGACAAAAATTATCGATTCAACATGGTATTCCACCCAAGTATCTCATACATTCTTTTCGACTAGAACCTAGATATATAAGCACTATAAAAAGATACAACAGCACTATAGTAAAGCCGCTTGAGGGTATACGCGTTCTTGAGCTTGGACAGGTAAATTTATATAAACTCAGGGAAAAGAAGGAGGTCAGTGTTTAAATTTTTATATAGCTTATTGCTGGTCCCTTTTGTGGATCCATTCTCGGGTAAATAAAAAGAGAAAGAGAGAAAAGCGTAAAGATGACTAAAATTTCATAATAGATATTATGGCGCAGGTAAAGCAGAATGTGAAGAAAAGTATAAATACTATTCTTAACCTCATACTTGATACGGCTTTATATCTCTAGATGTGGTAAGAAGCAATTTACAAAAAGGAGGAAGAAAACAAAAAAAAAATAACAGGACCGCTTATAGATCAAAATTGAACCACCAAATACAGGAGACCCTCTTCGTAAATGGCGTGGTCTAGATAAGGACGGACAGAGTCCATGGTTTCGGTCACTTGCAAGAAACAAAAAGTCGGTCTGTATTGATTTAAGATCGGAAGAAGGACGCAGGTATGGATCATGTGGGATAAACTATACCCAGGGATTAAGTCTTTTTGTCAAGTCTTGTCAAACAGCTCGCTTTACAGTCTGATGTTTTAATCGAAAACTTCAAACCGGGCACAATGGAGAAATGGGGATTAGGACCAGGTACGACAAGAAAAAGTGGTTATAAATTGTTTGCTCATAATTCAAAAAAGATCATATTTACCCAGAGAATCCATCCTTGATCTATACTCGTATCTCTGGATACGGGCAGACAGGGCCATACTCCAAGAAACCAGGGTTTGCATCAGTATGTGAGGGCGTAGGAGGCTTCAGGTACGTCAATGGACATCCAGGTCAACCACCTGTGCGTCCCAACATAAGCCTTGGAGACTCTTTAGCGGGTATGCATGCCGCCTTGGGTGTTCTGTTGGGCTTGATTGCTAGAAACAAAGTAAAGGACCAGTCAAGGACAGGACAGGTGGTAGATGTATCCATTTATGAAAGCGTGTTGAACATGATGGAGGGTATTATCCCTGAATATGATCGCTTTCAACAGGTTAGACAAAGAAAGAAAAGGGGGAGAGTAAACATTGTCTTAGCCTTTGTTCAATTAGATTCGACAACCTTCAGGCACGACTGTAACTGGAATAGTTCCTACTAATACGTATCCTTGTAAAGATGGAAAACATGTCATCATTGGTGGAAACGGAGATAGTATCTATGTCCGTCTGATGAATGCCATAGGAAGAAGCGATTTAGTAAGAAAAAAAAAAAAAAAGGCCATATATCATTCATGTTATAAACATTGCTAGACTGGTGAAAAATACAAGGCTAACTCTGATAGAGTGAGAGAACAAGTGGTGATTGATGGAGCGATTGGTAAGTTTGCCCACATAAATCAATAAAGGCGGTTCCTTATGAATTCAATATAGCCGAATGGACATCAAAGCATACGGCAGATGAAATTATAAAAGCACTAGAAGAAGCTTCTGTCCCAGTTGGAAAAATATATGACGCAAAAGATATAGTAGAGGATGAGCATATTAATGCAAGAGGAATGATAGAAACAGTCAAAATTGGCACTGAAGATGAAGGACGTGGTTGGGAATTAAAGGTATATAAATATATAGAAATTTATGAGCAGAGATACACTTGCTAAATCCTTACCAGATACCTGGTATGTCACCTATACTAGAAACAACACCAGGATCAACTGAATGGCCAGGGCCAGACTTGGGCGCACATACAAATGAAGTGCTGACTGGCCTATTGAACTTGAGTCAAGAAAAAGTGAATGAATATAATAAGCTCGGGATAACATTTGGAAATTAATAAAAAAAAAAAAAGAAATCAAAGTGTATCTATTTCCGTCTATTCTCCTTACGTTTATCTTTAATTCGTATTAGAAAAGAGTATTATTAAAGTTTATTGAACAAGTGAAAAACTAAACAATAAGCGCTCTTTCTTTTGAACGCATTAAATAGATAAGTAGGAAAGTGTTAATAAGGACACAGTAACTGTAAAAGCAAATGAGCAAAGATTCCAAGCATTGGCCGAACTTGTATGAAGCATCACTGGACGAGATCGCAGACTGACTGTCTGATTACTTGGCTTTTTAACAACATGTTCGATAACAGTCAAATAGAACGTCTCGTTTAATCCATGAGGTACTTTCCAGCTAAAGGTATCATTGTATACAAAATCAACGTGAACGCCAGAAGAATTTCCAGATTTAATAGGATGATTGATCGTGATGTTGTTAATAAGCTGTTCAGCTGCAGCATCTTGCCAGATCTGAATATCGACAGTGTAGTCCCCAGGGCCTTCGTTGTTGTATTGAAATACGATCTCTGTATTTTTGCCAACTTGAACTGTATCGTTTTGAGCGGGAGAAAGGACCTTGCCACCGAGTTGTGCATGCACAAGCGAGATAAAAAGTAGTAAAAGGAAAGTACAAGGGATCATGATGAAAAAAGGGGAAAGGAAAGAAAAGAAAGAAAGTAGTGATGAAATAAAGATAGAGAGAGAGAAAGAGCTGATTTTATTTTTCTCTGTGTTCCAGACGTGGGGTAAAGAGATTCTTTTCCAGCAACACAAAGTGAAAATCAACAGTAAAAGGGTGCACAATAGTAGTACAATGAAAATTTCGATTTATTTATAGGGCTTTGATTGTTCAATTTTCTCATTAAGCGTGTATATTCAGCTTATGTATTTGTAATTACATTTATCCTGATTTATGTTTTTAAGACTTGGCTTTTCAACGAATGTGCTGCTTTACTATTCAAATGAAAAGAAAGCAATTTTTTTTCTTGTTCAAACAGTTGTTTCTATGCAATTGGAATACAAATGGGCCATTACCATTTTTGCTTCTTCATTGTACACAATAAACTTTAAAAAAAAACTGCTACCAAGAACATGTCTTTTAAAGACAACAAACATTAGAAATAATCTGAATCGCATTATGCTTGTATTTGACAAATATAGATCAACTATTGTAAACACATGATGCAAAAAAAAAGATATTTAATGGCTTCAGATCGATTTTATTTACTCTAAATGTATCTATATGATTCAAGATCGATTTACAAAGCATACTTCATCTTTCCAGAGCTATTGAGCAAACCAAAACTTGCCTCGGTACCAGCTTGCTTCCAATCAGAATCTTGCCATTCAAAATAATAATAAGGAAGAGAGGATTGCATGAGGCCCGTAACATACTTTTGAGCATTTGCTTGACTTGGAACGGCACTGCCAAGAGGAGATCCACTGCTAGGCCATCCAGTTTCAGTAATCAATACTTCTTTGGAGCCAGCCACAGCTTTGATGTTATTATACTGTAAGTTGAGATTGCTCATAGCGCTGTTGATGTCCACTTTGGCAAAGAACGGATAAACATTGGCAGAGACCATATCACAGGCAGAGACCAGCTTGCTAGAAAATCCACCAGGAATTTCCGCAGTTCCGACAGAGTGATTTTTGGCAAAGGCCTTGACTTGGTTGATTTTGCTGATCAAATCAGCTTCAGATATGACACTTTTGAAAAGGACTTCATTGCCCACCAAGATACCACGGATGTACTGATTACCGATGTTCTTTGCCAAGACTGATTTTAAAGTGGATATTTCCTGATCATCATTGCTAGTACCATCAATCCAAACAGCTGCCAGCACTGTCATGCCACCACCTTGAGCATTGATAGCGTTCAAGATGGCCGAAAGTTGATTGCATTCTTGTGAGTAGGTACGGATGTGCATGATACCGTTTGATTTCATCAACTTGACAGAATTTGCAATTTGAGAGGCAGATTGACAAGAACCATCCGAGTTACGAGCAGTGTAGGTCACACCCTTGATGGATCCAGAGCGACGTTCGACAGGAAGAGCTTGAACAAGGCCAGCTAATTGAGCAATGAGAGCAACGGCAAGAATAAATATCAATTGCATTTCGTTATATTTCTTTTCAAAGGATTGGATAGGAATGAGGCTGAACCTGCAGCAAAAAGTTATAAAAAAAGAGAGAGAAAGGAAAGTGATGTATAAAGAAGAAGAAGAAAAAGAGAGAGAGAGAAAAGGCTTATTATACTTTTTATAATACTGTGGGCCCGTCGCGGTAACTCATTGGTGTCCCTGATTAAAATAGATATCAATGATTTGCCTGGTTTCGTAGATCAATTATTGCCCTTGAATTTGACCAATCTTCTGATCGAATTTAACCTCAACAAAAAGATTGTCAAGGTACAGCTACAATCTTATGTTACATAAACTTTTAGACTCTTTCGTCATTTCTAAAAAAAAAAAACCTGATCCTTGTCCCTCTTGTCTAAATTACTCATTATTTTTATATTATTGTTGTAATTACGGTAACACTTTTATCTTTGTTTTATATAACAATATGGAATTTTAATTCATTGAAGAATCAGGACTCCCCTTTCACTTTATTTTTTCTTTTATTTTCCTTTTTTCTAAAAAAAAAAGGCTGTTGAAAATCTGGATCTTCTTTGACAGCTATCGGCGACACGCCATCTTTTCAAGTGCAGAAGAAGGGGGCAACGAAGAGCCCAGGTCTGAGCGATCCAAAACTCGTCCAATAAAAATGATTATACGCGCAAAAAAAAATCTTTACGTGTTTATAATGACCGATGCGTGCAAGTCTAAAGAAATCTGTAGGGGAATATCACTATTGTTTGTCAATATTTTAAGGTTTTTTTTTTTTGCCTTATAGAGGCACCATTAGAAGAAAAAAAAGAATATAAATGTATTCAAGTTGTTTAACTTGGTGATTCCCTTTTAAGCGTATCAGTCGGAAGATGAGTGTGTTTTTGCAGAAAAATGGAATAAAAATAGATTTTTAAAAGAGATAGTTTAACCGATAGATGCTCTAGAATCTCTTGTAGAATCAATTGCAAAGAATAAAGCTTGATATCGTATGGGTTGCTTGTTACTTCAACAAAGAATGCCAATATATAGCATTACATCATGACAAATCTACTATTAATCTTTTTGTGATGATCCAACTAATACAAACACAATTGATCAGTGTTTTTTATCTTTAAACATGAATGTTTCTTTCTATAAAAATTTTTGTGTGTCTGCGTTTCTTTTTTTGAATGATTTTTCTCCAAGACTTGATTATTTAAAAAGATACTACGGTCAATTGTCATGATGCTACTGCTGATTGAATGATATCTTTTGATTTGTGTCTTGAAACTGTTTAGGAAGGAGCTTTGATTAATTTCAGACGATTGATGTTGCTCGACGATACAAGCAAGTGCGGCATCATAAAATGCCATCATTTCTCAGGGATAGTTATACTATACATATTGAAAAATAACAAGCAAAGGTTTGAAATCCTTCAAAGCTGGTAAATATGGCCTATTAATTGCATCATTTGAGAATAACTTCCAACTTGACAACGTGTAATAATACATAAAATGAACTTTGTCTTTTTGAGAAACATAAAATAATAAGAGAGGGTATTCGTATAATGTAGCTAACACTTTATAAATAACACGCAATTGAAAAGTTGTTAGAGACTTTGTACAAACGGCCTTTGGCTTTGGCTCACTTTCTTTTCTTTGGACCAAAGAGTAAGACCAGCTATTCTCCAGCTAGCCCTAAGATTTGTGGTCTCATTTGTTGTCTGAAACTATCAGTGTGCGCATAATTTCTGAATAAAGTGCAATAGCATTTATATCAGGTCATATCAAGGGTTATTTAGCAAAGAGCTATCTTTATTCTAAAATGTGACTCAAAAAAAGGTGACCAATTGAGATCCGTACGTCATTCTTTTGTTTCTGTTGCATAATTTTGTTTATTGTTTTTATCTTTATCTTGCCTTGAATGAATCTTTTAGACTTGCCTGCTGAAATTTTATTGCGCATAGTTTATGATATACCCAGCATTCAGGATAAATGTCAACTTTTACAAACATGTACACATTTCAACATTTTACTTTCCTCGCATCCTACCTGTTGGTCACGACTTGACCTTTCACCCTTTCCGTCTATACATAATACAGCACTCTTGACATTCTTCAAGAATTGCGGTATTTCTTTGGCCCCTTTTCCTTCCGGCAATGACTCCACTTCAAGCGTTGTTTCTGCTTTAGATATTAGTGGCTGTAGAGGTCTATCGGAAACCATGTTACAGGCACTATCCAAGACCTTTACGAGCTTGACAGAACTAAACATCAATGGGTATCGTCTATCAAACGAGACAGAATACGATGAGGAGCAGCCAAGGGCATTCGAACAGCTTCGTGATCACGTATTTCAAGTGCGACCTTCTCATGATCTATCTTCCATGACTATGGACCTTTCCAAAAGACTTGTGCAACAACTAAAGATTCCGTTTATTCTGATATTAGATATGCTTTATTCATTGCATCACCTTCAGTCACTATCAATGCAATACCAGGAGCTGACACCTCCTCGTTGGCTATGTAAGCCGTTTGAGCAGCTCCGCCATATTCGACATTTAGACATATCATCTTGCATAGTTAGTCAACCAGCCCTCCAGACTCTCTTGCGGGTCGTCGGCGGTCAATTGATCAGTTTGAAAATGCTCAATATTGACTTAACCTACTTGACCATCCTTAGTCTTGGACAACATGCAAGAAATCTTGAATGTCTTCATCTCTCCTGTGACGATCAAAGCCAGATCACAGCCATCAGCAACGCAATTGCTTGTATGAAGAAGCTCAAAGATTTTCGACTTACTCGTATGCGTATGGGTTCACTGACGGCCGTGATTGAGCAGCTGAACGTTGATATTCTCGAAAGGCTCGATCTATCACCCAAGATGAACATATATCTCAAGCCGTTTGCTGCTCGTCGACAACTCCCAGGACAGCAACAACAACAAATGGAACTACCTCAACAAAGGACGAATAAGCATCCCATCAAGACATCAGTATTACCCGCTGCCAATTACGCCACGATTGAACATAGTTTACGGTTGGTAGACGAGGCCTTTCCGAGATTATTCCAGTGTCAGCATCTGGTCGAACTCAGACTGTGCTTCCCCGCCTTTCGCGCAGCGACCTTGCATCAATTTTGTCGGTCTGTGGCTGGATCGTCCCTAGAGATATTCGAACTAAGACTGAAGACACCACAGGGGGATAAAGACGATGACAACTATTCTTTAGGGATCCCGCTACTTACCAATCTCAAGGAACTCTACCTTTACTCTGTCTATCTGCCAGTTAACAGCATTAGGTCAATAGGATCGAATCTGAAAAAGATGACATGTTTGACAATCTCTGATGGCGGAAAATGGATAGAAAAGACCGAACTGCACACTGTATTGCTACATAATCTACCTCTGCTGAGACTATTTCGGCTAGGCAAACTAAGTAGACCAATATCAACATGGCCGGAAGATGTGATCGTGAAGAGGGATAGTCAATCCAATATTGTCTTTATCAAATCTTATCCTGAACGTGTGTGGTGTGTTCAATAAAAGATAGAGAAAGAGAGAGAGAAAAGGAAAGAAGAGAATCATCTGTGTATGTATATGTGTATGTATGTTGTATGAGTGATAGATAGTGTATGCTTTATTCTTTCTGATTTTTTTATACAGTATTTCTGAGAACTACAGGAAGATAGTGAGTACGCCATCGTATGCCTTTATCCTTTTCTCATACCTAACACGACAGTATCGCCACGAAGGAACATCTTGCTGACAAAGCGGTCCTTGTTCACAGGCTTTGCTTTGGATCCCTTTCCGGTACGAGGGGTTTCAGTCCACATCTATTAAACGCGATTTAACATTGTGATTGCTATTGTTATTTGTTGTTTATTACCTCCTTGACATTTTCAAGAACCATGTTACAGTGACGATCAAATGCCTTCACACGAGCTAACAATTTATGATTATTACGACAACTAATCAAGATTTGATTGTTATTCTTGACAGATTGTTGCAGGACTGAAAGAGGACCCGTGTTGAATTCGAGTTCTTCTTGTTGACGAAGTTCTTCTTCTGTCATCTCAGACTTGGGTTTAGTGACAAGTGCGCTATATAAAGCATATGAATGAGCTATTGTAAAATGTAACAAGATGTAACTCACCTCATTTTTAATATATAGATGTGTGTGTATATGTACTAAGAGAAAGAGAGAGAGAAAGAGAGAGAAGAAAAAAAATAGTTCAGAGTAGCAGCCAAAGTACGTCACACTCGTCTTGACCAATAGAAAGGTTTATTGAAGTGATTCGAGCTTTGTTCTCAAATATGCGAATAGCTATTATCTACTTTATTGAGCTATGAATTAGAAATGAGTATCTTGAAAGAATGGAACATGAATGTGTTGAGTGAGGAGAATACAATAGACACATATGCTATATGTCTATATCACGGTATTGCAATACTTATTACATGTATATGTAATGTATACCGAGATACGTGATTAGACAGAGATATATATATATATATATATATAATAGGAATAAAATAACAATGGAACTGCTCTTATAACAATAATAACGCTTTATAGGTCAGCTCAGGGAAATAGCCCTTTTATGTGGAGAGAGATAGGAGAGAGGAGAGGGGTGCACACACAGACGCGCGCACAAGCCACTTGACAGGCAAAACAGTGAAAAAGACATAATTTTTTAATTCTTGTTTTTATTGTTATTATTAAACGCAATGCAAGTAGCCGAACGTACTCAGGATGAAATGCTTGGTGGTGAACCGATCCAAGTCCCAGCCTTTCTTGGAATGACCGAACAACAGTCTCGTTTACTGGTTGCCTTGTACAATGAAACCGATCCTGAATTTGCTAAACAGATGCCTACCGCCTTACCTATTGCTGCTCAACAACTTGCGAGTGAATATGAAAAACGAAACAGTGTTGGCAAAAAGGTACGATATCTTATCAAAAAAACATTAGAGGCTAACATTGTCCATAGCTTGAACGAGCCAACAGCAGATGGTCGGATGAATACAAGCTATTTGATCAAATACAACGAGAAGCTGTTGAAAAGTTGTCAACGACCGATATGAATATTGATAAAGCAGCACAAGGTTTGAGATTGGCAGAAGAGGATGACAGTCCAGTGCATGATCTTGTCATGGGTAGTTTATTGTACGGAGGTATTCGTCGAGAGCCATCAGGACCTGATGATCATGCATCCATGAGTCCTGTGGCCAGTCCCAATTTTGAAGGCGCTAAGCATCTGTTGGTAAGAGCATTTGAAAAGGGATACACGATGGCAGCTGTTCAGATCGGATCAATCTATATGCAAGAGGAAAAATTGGCAGGAGGTAAAAATTTGAATGGCCAAGATCCAAAGGTACTGGCTTATCAGTGGTACAAGAAGGCTGCAGATTTGTCCAACCCAGTAAGAAATGATGATGATTGTTTTATGATGCGTGTATTTATGGATAAAAATAGATGGCTTGCCATAAAATTGGCTATTTCTTGGAACAAGGCATTGGATGTGACAAGAATCTTCAAGAAGCGATCGAGTATTATAAAAAGGCATTTGAAGAAGGTAAATGAAGACATAAACATAATTGAACTTGTCATTTCTAAATCTATTTTGAAGGATATCCTGATTCAGCGCATAATTTGGGTATCATCCATCAAGGATTCACCAACGAAACAAGTGCTTTTAGAGATATAAAGAAATCCATCGAATACTTTGAAAGAGCCAAGCAATGGGGTTACTCACCATCATGCAATGCACGTAAGTGATCTTTGTTATTCAAAAAATATTTAATTTATTCCTTTTGCTAGTGGGCAGAATGTATTTGTTGATGTCAAAGAATGCTGAACTTGCCAAAGAGGCAGGCGATCCAGGCAGTGAACCAGAGGATTATGTAGTGACTGGCATTGATTTGATGGAAGATGCGGCCAATAACGGAGACGCAGATGCCATGTTGATGCTTGGTTTAATATTTGGGTCCAAGGATTATGGACTTTATGATATGGACAAAGCACAAAACTATATGGAACTTGCTTTGGTCCGTGGCGATCTTCAAGCTTACAATTACCTTGTTCGCATCTTGCGAGCCAAGATGGCAGCAAGGATTGCCTTAGAGAACGAAAACATGGAAAACTTTGAACAACTGAGTGAAGTAGATAAGGAAAAGCTAATTCGTCAGTTGGCTAAGGAAGGAGACAACTCTATTCATAAACAGTGTGCTAATCCAATGTGTGAAAAGAGAGAAGAAGAACCAGGCAGTTTCAAACGCTGTGGAAGATGCCAACGAGTTGCCTACTGTTCCCGTGATTGTCAGAGGGAGCATTGGAAGACTGGTCATAAGGTTGTTTGTAAATCACCAGACCAACAATAATAAGGATCGTAGTAGTAGTGATCGTAGCAGTGATAGTAATAATTGTATTTGTGTGTGTAGTCATTATTTATACCATATATAAAAAATATTATAGAGTCTCTCATTTCTTTTTTGCCTCTTTTATATATAAAACTACCTGCTCTTGTTTTTTTTTTCTTTTATATCTAATAATAATAATAATGACAATATAAACAATATATAATATGCGAATTCTATTAAGTATAATATACAAAAACACATATGAAAAAAAAGGAGAGGGGGTTAACAGTTATGAATCTGATGCTGGTTCTGGTGTAGTTGTTTCTGAGGAAGTGGTGACGCTGTCGTAAGGTGTATCATCTGTAAATGTTTTATCAATAGGTATTGTACGACTACATTGAATTAGTTTTAGTAAATCTTGTTTGATAATCGATGCTTTTCTCCATTCTTCAACTAATTCTTGTCTAAAAGAGTCAATCCTCTCTCGACGGACAGTTTGGCCTGACTCTAGCCTTGATAGGACCAATAGGAGTATTTTACACATGTGGTTGAATTTACAGAATGAGTCGTCCAAGTATTGTTTTACACGACTAGTAAAGTCTACTTCATATTCAAACTGTCCTGAAGAATTGCTAAGGGTAGGGCCAACTGCTGTACTGAATGTTTGTAATTCCTGAACGACTGATTTTGCTTTATATAAACAGCGTGTAAATTCAATAAAATTACGGTCACTATTTGATAGGGTGGACGACGAAGACGACGACATATTCACAATGGATGGTGTCTGTGCATGAATATTATTGACAATAAACATATCTTTAGAAAAAAGAGAGAACAGAAACAAAGGAAAATTGCAGCCAGCAGCTTTTTTATATTAGACACATACTGTTTTTTTTAGTTTCTTCTTTTTTCTTCGATGGAGAACAAAATGGAAATGCGGAATTGAAAAAATGTCCTATTTTATTAGAAAAGGAAAATAGACGGATCTTTCCTATTTTAGGAATATTCTTGTTCCATCATTTTACTTGAAAAGGGCAAATCCTTCATCTTTCTATTTTGTTCTATCGAGACCCATACACATTTTAGACACACAAAGATTTTGGAGTCGCATTTTATTAATACATTTTATTGCTGCTGTGTACCCATCTGCTGCATCTTTTCTCCAACTTTAGCATTGACTTCGATAAACTTGGCAACACAACGGTCAACACAGACTGCTTCTCCTTGAGTCAAGTCAGCTTGATTATAGTCAGTGGCAATACATTTTTTGTGGCAGGAATCAGCAATACTGAAGAGATTACGTCAACATTATTATGATTTTTCTTCATTTTTAATAATCATTACCGATTGAACAAATCAGTCACCATTTCTAACTCTTGTTCAGCTAAAGCAATATTTTGTGGGTTGATAGTTTGTTGTCTAGCTTGCATATTTCCTCCACCAAAGAATGACATTTTGTATTTGTTGTAAGAAAAGAGTGCTTCTCCTAGAAACGCGCAAGGGTTTGCAGGGCAAAAAAAAAAAAGAGTAAATGCGGTCACGTCAATAGTTTCACATACATTTTAGGGCTTTTGATCTTTTTTATCTGCAGAAATGACGCAGCATGATTGTCATGTCCCCCCTTGTATTGAGAGAGAAAAAAAGAGAGGCATTATAGGCGCATATGCAAATCGACGCCAACAGAGGCGCACATACACACAGACGCACACAGGCGTCCCACCCTGATGGATACACAATGACAAAATGGCATCCCCCAATAAAGTATGACCACAACATATCAGACTTGAAAAAAGTTGTATTTAAACATAAATAACTGACAAGTGCCCGTTACCTTTCCAACATTAAGTCATGCGGCCTCTTACTTGATTAATAAGTACTGTATCTTGTTTCGGAATGGCTTTCTAATCTAAAATAAGCTTTTTGGGCTCATACAAAAGAAGGAGAGGCTTATAGTCTCCCTTACTTTCTCTATTTTTCTTACAACATTCTACAAGATCTGTGAATAGCAAGCTGTGATTCTTGATAGTGATTCAACTCTTTTTTTTTTTATACAGATGAAATGACTCTTTTTGGCAATATGTCATTAGTATTGAAGATATCATCTGACGCCAGTTTTGACCCTTGGACCAGAAATTTCTCCTCATTAGGAAAGGAGGATAAAGGCGCTTGTAATCCTCCTTTTTTCTATACAGATAAAGACGTATGAATGAGATCTATAAAGGTATATTCCTTTCATGTGTTGTTACATTTAAGATAATGTTGTGGTACATGAACACCAATGTGAACAACAGTTTGCATTAAGCTTTTTCTTTCTTTCTAAAGACACATATGTGTATATTTTTTTCTTTGCAGAAAAACATCAATAAGCTTCTGTTTCAGGTGTGGTGTCAATAGTACTGAATTGTAAGTTATCCCTCCTTGTTGGAGATTATCCCTTTTACGCAATAAAGTAATTCTACAGTACTTTCTTTTTCTTTCTCTCCTGACGCGTGGGAAAAAAAAAACAGTATTCTGGACTACATTTTCAGCAAAGACATCCTTATGTGGTTATATCCGAAGCTTGGGATCGTCCTTAAAAACCTTAAAGGGGAGACTGGGGTATGACACATAGCTCAATGTGATTAAAGTTATTGGTCACACAGGCAACTGCGGATGCTCACCAAACATACATCAGATTGGTTCACTCCTTACCTAGGAAACTCTTACAGTAGCTTTGTGGCCGTATAAAGTTAAGTTGTGGGCGTACATTAAGAAATACAAGCATACACTTGCTGTAAACTTAAAACCATGAGTGTCGTCTTGAATTAACTGATATCCTTCTTTAGTTGTTCGATTGTTATGTGTCGACAAGAGAAATGAAAAAAGAATGTGATATCCCTATATAAAAATAAAGCAAAAGCGCTTTCCATTGAGTCTACTCAACAAACGCCATTCGCTGACAAAGTGATACTCATTTCGAGCACACTTTGGTGTACATGAGATGTTGCGCCACAACAAGAAGGATTTCGGAGTTCCCGGATATTTCTCTTCTAATTATGAGACCTTATATTTGTGTTAGTAGATTTATTAGATAACCTTATTTCATCTATGTTATGCCATTTAGCCGTGATAATTCATATGATCGGCAATATCAGGAATGTGTCCTGTCATCCTAATTAAGCGTACTTTTTCATTAAAGGGTGTTTGGCTTATTCTTTTATGATGAGAGGATTCTGTTCCAAATACGCAATGCCATCAGATATTGGCATAAAGCAAAACATTAGGTTGTATAGCTTTCGTGAACCAGGGAGCACATACAATGCTATAATACCACTGTCCATATGTTTAATAGCGTCAAGTAATATCAAATAAACATTGAAACCATACATTTTATATGACTATTGTCATTTGAGTAGATCAATGCTTATTATAAAACAAGTCGCTGTCATTAAGTCAATAGAAGGTTTATGTTTGAGAGCGAGGCCATCAAAATTATCATTATGATCTCCAAGCAAACCCGTTTCAACTTTTAGCTTGTCCCTTTATCTTTTTTTAATTATTAACAATTGTTAATTTAGATTGAAGCTAAATGGATCGATTATATTTTGAAGAATAAACATGGAGCAATTGATTTTTCCTAGTTCAAATTGTTCTCATTGATAAGAAGCCCTTGGATATTATTTTGACATCTCTTTTTTTTACCTTTTTGTTTTGAAAATAATCATTTTTTGTATTAAGTATGAATATCTATTAGCCACATGATTCGATTAATTTTTGTTAAAGTTGACTGGTTTCGTTGAATCTCGTCATTGCCAAACAAAAAAAAAAGAGAGAGAGAGATACAGAAAGAGTAAAAGCAGATCAATTGATACATCTAAAGATAAGTTGACTTTATTTACAATAAAAGGAGCGGTCACTTGTATGTTTTCATTCTTTGGTATTGTTTACGTTACTATATATGTTTATTGGGCTTTTTCTGTAGTTATTTATATAAAAAGCTATTGTCTAAAAAGCAATAGATTACGAAGACAAGTTCATATTTGATACTTTAATTAAAATTTAATTAAATACCTGCGGCGTGATTGCTTTTTTCATACATAAGACTTGATTTCAATACATCGCATGCCGCAATTTTCACCTCCAACAGGGCCGAAAGCAGGTCTTTTTCTTTGACGTATCATTAATAGCAAATTATCTTACAGAAGATATCTTGCTTTGCTTTCTTTGCTTGTTTTATTTTATTTCTGATATAAATTCTTTTCTATTGCCCTTAGAGTGTCTTCTTTGCATTCCTTTAATTATGAATAGTGGAACTTGCCTCTATCGATGCCACTATATGATTAACAATGTATGCTTTTCTGTATAATCTTAGTCTCATCTTCTATGTCTTTTATTAACCTTGCTAGATTTATGATAATCTCCTCAACACTGTCTTCTGCCTTACGCCTTCGTTTAATATACATATTAAATTCTCTATTATGAGCTTTTTTTTTTTTGCCTGTTAGATGTTGCTTTTGTACTTTTTAACTTGCTTTCTGCATTTTCTATATTAGTTTTAATTACTTTAATCTTATTTATGTGTTGGCGTCAAAAGTCAGAGTCACTATACCATAATTTACATTTATCTTTGGTTGCGACTTCTTTTCTATTTATATGCTTAATTTGTGCGAATCGCTTCACTTTAATGCTTTAAGGTATTTAAACGTCAACGTACTCTGTCATTGTATTTTTAATAAATTATTCTCTAACGTATATAATATAATAAATCAAGTATTGATTATTTACTCCACTTTTAATAATCTACTGTGTTGAGCGACACTTACAAAAGCGAATTCATCGTACTTGTTATCATTTTTATTTTCTTTATCTTTCTTAGCAATGCATTTCATCAAATTTTAAAACATGAATGATAATGTTCTGGGAGGAGATGTCACATCCACATATTCTCAACATTTGAACCAAAGCAGTATTAGTACGTTTGGTAACGGTATCCTTTAAACTTTTATGCAAATTTAAATCCAAAACATCGATAAAAGAAATATGTTTGCATTAATTTTATTCTATAATAATTATTGAATCCTCATTTGAAGATAATTTCTGCCTTGTTCTTGTCAGTTCTTCCAATTTTTTCAATATGGAGATCTATGCCTCTCGTTATAGAAGCTCTAGTAGTTTCAACGCCCAATCCAAGATAATCTTTATATGTTGCTTCGTTCCTGTTTAACGCTTTAAGCATTACGAACTTGACAAAGGGAAAGTGATCTTGGTTTCTGTAAAGAAGTGGAGTGGATTGTGTAAATTTGATGGGTTCGATGTTTTAATGACAAGAGCTTTATTTTATTGTTAGTAAAAATAATAATAATGTATATGAATGCTCATGCTTTTTCTAGTTTTTTGTATAGACTCTGATTTGTGAACCCACAAAGAAAAAAAAACAGAGGAGCATGAAGAATCTTTATATAAAAAAAAGGTACAGACTTGTGTAACTGTTATGCTTAAGTCACATATTTCAGAAGGTATGCAGCTGCTCTAAATCTACAAAAGTCGTCGCCTTTCGGATCGAACGTCTCTTTTGCCTCAGTCAAAGGGATGCTTTTATGGAGGCCAAAAATGCAGCTGGTTGCTTCTGTAGTTCTGCTTCGCTTTTTAGGCTTGAAGAGCTCGCCATAGGTATAAATATCTTCAGAATCGATCGTTTTTCTTTTATTGACAGTTAATTCCTGAAGCTTTTCTAGTGTATTCGTCTCTTTGACTAAATCTACTATAGTGCAATCTTCGTTTTCAACTATAGCTTTTTCAACGTTGATTTTCTGATATGGCGTTGTTAGGTTTCATTATACCTGCTCTTACTTCTCCTTCAACCACATATTTTTTCAAGTCTTAGATACTTTCTTTTGAGGCTGCCTTCGCAAAATCTTTTCGTAGGGGCAAATATCTAGTGGTTTTCTTTGGCCTTCCAGGATACTTGACTTCCGAAGCTTTAGGTAAACGAACGTTGCTTTGTTCCAGAACAGTATGAAAATCCCTCATGTCATTATCATGCCTGTCTAAAATGCTTTTGATAGAACTTATGAGCGAGTTCATCTCGTACGTTCCTTCACATTTTCTGAAGGCTGCTTCTAGAGCAACAACATATTTCATCCATGATTTTGGCGCCGAAACATAAATTTCTTCTTCCTGAACATGGGTTATTATTTCATCAGCAATCCACCATCTTGAAGCGACATCCTCCATGTCCAAGTGCTCCTTGTTCATTGTTGATAAAGTATGAGAGCAGGGAAGGTTGAACGTTGTTTTAACTTCACATGTGCAGTCAAGGCCTTCGTCAACGTCTGGTACATCCTTGTGAAGCTCCATTCGAACCATATAAAGCGCCTTATAGCTAACTTTATGAAGAAGTTTCTTCAGTTTTTGCTCGCTGTTAATTAAAATATCGACCATACTTTTTTCTTTTTGCTGCAAGTCGTTGAAGTCTCTTTCTAATTTTTCTATATGGTCATTGATCTTTTCAAACGACATCTGAAGAGGCTGCACAGCAAACATTTCTTTTTTAGAGTGTTATGGTCGCATTTGACTTCACTGGGTGTTAGTGTAGCCCATGTGTTGAAGCCTTGATGTGTAAATAGCTGCTCATTTTTTCAAGCGAAGTTTTCATTAGGTTTTATAATTGTTTTTAATCTGATTCGATCTTTAGTTATTTGAAAAAAATGCGATTCTTTGATTTTTGCTCCGCATTTTTCAAATACTCCGCCTGGGTTATTATTTTTCTTGAGTAGAGAAAGCTAGTGGGGATATTGATGTGTAGTTGTGATCATACAGAAGCACACAAATCATTGAGCTTGTTCACATGGAACGAACTAATAGAGACAAAAATTATTCTCCTTATCAGATGAAATTCATGAATGTTTAGAATTCGCTTCCAAGCAAGGGCCCAGGAAAAGCGTCCTATGAATTTACAAACCATGCCAAAGAGTATGACGGAGACTGTTGGACAAAAAAATAGGAGTAGTTTCATTCGGAATCAATAATTTTTCTGCCATTCAAGCACGAGGGTATAGTTTATCAGCACACGAGCTCTTATCCTTTAGAATGAGCGTTCTAAGTGAGCTCGAAGTTGATGGGATATATTACTGAGCCTGCTAAGAAAGGGAGAGGGCATTTGACTTGTCTACTATCTACATGATAAACCGGATGAAGTAGGGAAAGAAGCGGATAGAATTAATAGCTGAGACGAGCAAGCTGCTATCACCAATGCAAATATCGCTAGACTGCCTTCGCCCTGACAGGGTAAACGATAAAAAGAGAGCCGTTCACGGGAAGGTCACTTTATGCTTTTGTTCAGTATAAGACATCAAGTGTTCTGCTGTAAGATCCAGTGCCTCTCCAGTCTAATACACACAACTGCATCTTAATCCCCTACATGCTTCTTTAGCTGGTCTCAAAGAGGCTCCGTTTTTAGAGTAAAATCAAAAGGTCACCAATGTAATCTAAATCAGGGGCTTAAAGATTAAATTATTTCTATCATTTACTCTTTTTACTGATAAACAAGACTACTTAATATCCTCATATCGGTCGACCAAATTACAAGCGTGGGGTCAGACTTGATGTCTAAGGCACTATTCAAAAAGTTACACTGTATACTAAATAGGAGCATAGAGCATGTGTCACAACAGATGAATTACAGATTCGTCCTTTTCTTTCTTTCTTTTTTTCCCAAAAACTGCTTTCTCCCTCTTCTTTTTTATTTGAAATATGAATTTGCTGGAATCCTGTCTTTCTAGAAGAACAGGTTCCCAAATACGCCTTTCAGATGATGACGATAATGTCAATGATAACCATATACTGTCTTTTTGCTGTCTTTTGAAAAGAGAAACAAGAGGCGAGATACACTTGCCTGAAGAAAGCAATGAAATCCTTGACTTTGACGTGATAAGATCAAGACAGGAACAAGATCTTAATGAATATTTATATGGTTTATCAGATTGGTCATCGAGGAATAACAAGGACTCCTTTAGAGGAAACAGTTTTATACAATCTGAATATAGTCCACTTGCTGGAAATCATTCTCAGACCTCATCACTTATTGAAGAAGAAGATGATGCACAGTTTCTATCAGAGCATCGCATATCAGCCATAATCGATGATGGACCCAAGGTAACAGATTAGGATGTATTGTAACCAACACTACTTATACGTCTATAAACAGCTGAATAGTGCACATGTTTATCATAACAATAACATAAATACTGCTGTTAACCACCAAGACTTTTTGGACATCGCATTAACACCCCAAAACATCAACAAATATAGCAGTGACACCGAGAATGAGTCTATGTCATCAGATGAACAGAGTAACACAGTACAGGAGGCATCTGTCCATATTACAGAGAGTGTCCTTGCTGAATCACCCAAAGAATTACCTAGCATAAAGCCTTGCTCGATCGAATCCGGCAGTAGTAGAGAAAGCACATTATCTGAGATAGACAATTCCATTGAACCCAATTTCAGTACAGACATTGACTTTCCAACAGCAAGGGTAGCCAAGTTACCTTACCAGCCTGTATCCCCCATGACTATCGGTTTTAAGCCGTCGTCTTCCATAAGTACACCAGTCTATGCTGTTCCGAATCAATCCGGTACCCGTAGACCCTCCGTTGTTGCAGCCGCACAAAATTTACTAGGTGATAAATTGGACGATTTTACCGAAAAATTGGCTATTATTAAAAGAAATATCATCATGAACGTAAATAATGATACCAGCGGCTCAAGTGATGATGAGTCTGTAGATGATGTCAGTAATCACTATTACGATTATAATACATCTGATCAACGACAGAGGTAAGAATAGCAAAGACGAAAAAAGAAGCAACTAAACAACAGTCTTATAAAAATAGACCACCTCCATGGGATACATTCATATCCAAGTTTAACAAACAAGCTAGTCCAAATACAAGACGACAGTTGTTTCCTCTAAGACGTTCTGTATCTATAGACGATACCCAAAATGAAAGAAGATTATCTAATTTTTACGAGGAAGATGAACTGTTTGATTTGAACAAAATCGTTGCCATCAGTAAAAATGTACGTACATTCAGTGAAGAGGTCGTAGGCAATGGTATCCGTACCATGTTTAATAATATTTCGACACGTATAAAGAACGTACAGTTACCAAGTGATGAAGAATAGATTGCTATTATACCCCCCTCCTTTTTTTTTCTCTCTCTCAGATACTTGACCATGATTTGATTTTATTCAAAAACAATAAAAACAAACTTGTTTAATAAGCAACTATTTCTAATGATAATAGCTTCATCTGAGATTGTTTGTCGCAACTCCTCTCTTTTAAAAAGAGAAAAGACCAAGCATCATATATGCATATATTAATAACGTCGTATTCAAAGGATGAGAACGCCAATTATTGATACATATCCATGCGCAAACGATCACTTTGAGAAAGAGCTAAACCGATAGAGGTTTGACTGCTATACATATTTTGACTCTCTCCCATCTGTTGCCAAGCTAACGTATGATTAACAAATGTGGATGAGCCAGGAATGTATCTTTGAGTGTTCTCCAGCATGTCTTCGCCTGTCTGCTTCTTACGATTGAATACACTGGATTGTGATAAATCTTGCGTAAAGGGTCCACTGGCAGAAGGTATAAAGGGAATGCTAAACTGTGAGCTAGGAAGTGATCCAAGCTCTGATGGAATGTATCCAACAGGGTCATGAGTTTGAATAAAATCTTGATCATATCCTTTAGCACCACGACGAGCTATTTTTTATGAATGAGTGCTCATTTACTGTTTATCATCAAGCTTCAACTTACTGTCATTGGGCGAAGGCGCTTTAGCAAATGCTTCTCTAGCGTCGACCTGATGAGCAAGGCCTTGACGGAATTTGTCATCTTTACGATAAGATTTTCTAGGTCTATTAAATTGAATCATCGATACACGGAGGTTGTTCAACGGACCATCCACCAAACAACCCTTTTCTTTATAATGAACAAGCAAATGATGCCATAATGGATGCTATGATAAAAAGTTAGAGATGAAGTATTCATGACTTTAGATTAACTTACTCTGCTCAATATCTTGGGATTACCAAGGATAACAACACCATATTTGGCACGGGTAAGAGCGACGTTCAAACGTCTAGGATCACTCAAGAAACCAATACCCTGATGCTCGTTTGATCTGACACAGCTGAGAATGATGTAATCCTTTTCTCTGCCTTGGAAAGCGTCAACACTAGCCACTTCAATTTCTTTATAGAGATCTTTTCTTAGAGATCCATTGAATTGCATGTACTGAACAATATACGAACGTTGACCTTCATACGGTGTGACGACACCAATCTGTGAAGGTAAGACACCAGACTTCATAAACCTTGTCACAATCTTTTCACAGTTGGAGGCCTCTGTTCTGTTCAAATAAGAGGTACCAGAGGTTGAGATTTCTTCATTACCCAAGTTGGCGTAGAACATCATGGGGGTTTCAGGAACAGGCCAAGGGAAATCTACGTCTTTTCTGATACGTTCTTGTGTGGTAATACCGTTTTGAAGTGTGCCTTCATAAAACATATTACTGGGAAATTCAGAAAGACAAGGATGCATACGGTACTGAACTTGAAGACGAATAGGACGAATACCGAGAATGACCAATCTTTCGAAAAGGGATTGACAGAGACCTGCACGGGCTGCCTTCTTGTTCATAATGATGGGTCCTAGTTGCTGATGATCACCTACCAAGACAGCTTGTTTACAACCAAGGACAAGTGGGATCATACATTCTGGTTCAGACGCTTGTGTGGCTTCATCAATCAATACCGTACGGAATCTTAGACTGGCAATACGAGAATCACCTGCACCTACGCTTGTACAGCAAATAACGTCTGCATTGGCAAGGATTTCCTTTTCACAAGCCCTCTTCAAAGCATTGTATTTTCGTTCATCGGCAGCACTTAATTCACCTTGATCACGCTTCAAGTGAATGAGCTTTTGTAATTCAACATTCGTATCGTTGTTTTGAACTTGTTCATGAAGCGTTAAAAATGAAACAGGAGAATCCAACTCTTCTCTACTCTTGGCGGTCACACGCACAACCTTTAAGCCTGTTTGATGAATCTTTTCAGCAAGTTGATCGACAGCTACATTTGATGGTGCACACACCAAGACTTGACCAGGATTCATTTTTGCTAAATGATACACAATAGAGGCTGAGGTTACAGTTTTACCGGTACCAGGAGGGCCTTGGATCAAGCTTAGAGGTTTTTGAAGAACTGATTTAACAGCATACACCTGAGAGTGATTCAGTTCAGGAAGATTGGGAGCAGAAAATCTTTTGGAATCATGTGGTTAGTCGTGGATTTAGGCTAGAGCAAGATATAATTACCTCTTTGGCATCTGAGTCTTCAATACTTGAGGCTCGACATCATGTCCAAGAAGACGGTGGTAGATATAACCACTGACACTTGCTTCATCAACAGCAAACTTCTTCATGGCAATTTGCATACGATCAAAACTTGTAGATTTCCAGACAAAGTCAACTGAGAAGTTATGGGTGCATTCAATAGGTGGATTGAGTCCACGAGAAATTTCGAGAGCAACTTCATCACTAATATTGTTGGGGATCTTGATGACATGACCAGTAGATTCCCAGGGTTCGTGTAATTCACCACGATATCTCAATCGAAGTTCATCGCCCACTGCCAACTTGATTTCTCCCAGTTCCAATTTGGGGAAATAGAACCATGCGATATGCTTTTGATTAAGGCCTACATCCCAGCGAACGACAATATCATCACAAGTCTAATAATAAGTTTAGATGTATATTCTCTAATGCGTTGATATATCTTACCTGAGATTCTTTCAGCTTCTTATCATACTCAGCTTCCATAGTAACTAATGGTCCAAAAATATTTTGATATTGATAGGCATCCTCATATCTAATATAATGTCAATACTCCATGGATCATATGTATATGCTCTATTTTCTTACCGCAGCAAAACTGGATGGGGTTCATCATCAATACCAGGTTTTTCTAAATCCTCTAATGTGGCCTCACTATTCTCCTTCCACAATTCCTCCAGCTTGTTGATTTGTTGAGATGTGATCTGACGAGCACGAAGTTGCTCTTGATCAGAAGGTATCTTGACTAACCAGGTCAAGAAACATCTATCATCAATCAAAGGCATCCACTGTGTCGTATCCCAATTCATATCCTTTGATGAAGGCATAGCTGCGCATGGTTGTCTACAGATTGATCAATGTTTAATAAATTTATAGATAAAAGTTATGATTTAAATTACCTGCAGATAAGAACGACAACTGTATCACTCTTGGCGGGAATGAAGCCCAACAAGAAGACATTACGACAACCACAGTTGTAGCATTCCAAAATAGTATCACCCAAGGGAGATTCGGGATGAAGAGCGACTTCTTTATGTTTTGCACGAACCAAATGATTAATGATGTGAGAACCAGAAGTATTTCCTCTTGAATTACAAAACCATCGATCACAGGTAACACATTTGACAACTGAAGCAGGTGAGTGTATGCCGCAGTACTTGCAGGCATGGGGAGGTAAATCTTTTTCTTCTACAGTATTGGCTAATTCTCCAAAGTCATCGGTGTCTTCAAACTGAAAATCGTTGACAAAAGAAGTTGTACCATTAGCAACTGCGTTTTCTCTTTCGTCTTTTAACGAAAGAGAGGAAATCGGAAGGTCGATCTCTGTTTCCTTTTGAGTTTGAGTAAAGTCGTTATACTCATATTGAGAAGACTGTGTGTCTGCTGAATATTCCAAGAATGTAAAGTCGTCTTGTGATGCTCCTTCAAAGTGGTCCATCCTTTTACATGTAAGAAGAAAAAAAAAAAAGGATTCAACCAAGCTTATTATTTTTCAATGACCGTTTTTTTTCAGGTGACTGAGTCCATTGTCTCTCTTTAATAAAACCCTTTTTTGGGGGTTCTATTCATTTTTTATATAAAATAGACATATAGACATCAAGCAAGGAGAAGGAAGAAGGGGGAACATACATACGGTTTGGTTATTATTAGAAGAAGGACAGAACGTCATAAATAGCTGTTTATTATGGTATCTTCTCGTAAAAGAAATAGGTATTTACAATTTTACTTTAGCCTTCTAGAAATAGGCGTGTATATCGAATATTCTGCTGGGTCTAACAGTCTCTTTCTACCTTCACCCCAATCCATAAAATTACTCTTTGAGATACGATTAATATAATATTCTGTATAGAGTATTGCTTCGTTTCTAGTGTGTGGATAGAGTGCACGTCCATATGGTTCAGGGTTTGTTTCCAGTAGAACTGAATGAGGTAACCAAGTAGCTGCTCTACTTCCAGGACGTGTTGTTGCCAAAAACAGGACTCCCTGTACATATTGATCAACCATCCTTAGTCTACCCAACTTTCGTAAACCTGTGTGTCTATTTCTTATTTTAGATTGTCCTTTTCGGGTCAAGTATAATTCAGTGAATAAATCATTGTCATCAACTTCTTCGTCTGATAAATTAGCTTCATCATCTTTGATTTTATCTTTCCTCACTGTGAACAGAGGCTGTATCTTTCTCTTGGGATGAGGTAATGAGGCTGCACGTTCAGTGATTTTTGCATAAGGTTGTAATTTTTTGGTTTCGACTAATTTTGACCAATTTTCTTCAACAGGCACAAAATCGAATTCGTCATCATAAGCTTCTCTTTTCTCCAGTATTTCCCAACAAGGACCTTCTACACCAAAAGAGTCGGATAGTTCAGGAAATTCTGTATCAGTATTAAGCCATGAGAGATAGCACACTGAGTCTTGATCTGACTTTAGTTTGTTTTCAGCAAAGGCAAGAGGGAAATCTTGTAACATCGACATTGAATGAAAGATAAGAAAGAAAAGAACATTGAGTACTCCTTTTTATTTGTTTTCTCTCCCTTTGCTGCGGCCAATTTAATGCATTCCAGCCGCAGCAGGTAAATAAACTAGGGCCAGCATTAAATTATTGGGCACAGATACCTTTTTTGGCACGCTTTCGCTTAAATTTAGTACAAGATCCATTTTTGGCATAAATGACGTCCAAGAGTTGACCTTCTTTCCTATTCAAGACTTTGTGGGTTTTGCACATCTGCATAGCATTTGCACCATATGTGACATAGGCGCACCACACCTACACAATATAATTCACAACACTGAAGTATAAGAGAACAGTACGCTTAGAAAGCTATGAAAGGGGACATAGGGAGAGTGTTGATTATATCTGAACGCATTAAATGTACAGTCATTCCATAAAGGGTAACTTTGAATTTTGTTTTTATTTTTCAGTCTTTATTTTGTGATGAAACAAATAGGATTACGAGTAGATGATAAGAAGTGGTGGAGACTTTTATCAGATGAGGTAGGCTGTTTTCGCGTAGTAAACACTGCCAACTCCTCATGTGGTACGGTCTTGCAATGTTTCTCGAAGATCGTCAACACCTTGATGAGATCATCAAGTTAAATAAGATATTGTGTAAGGTTTGACAGCGAAGAGGGCGTAGTTAATGTCACAAGTTCCATCATAACGTACAGGCCATCGGACATCAATTTCGTCAAGTAAAAGGTGATGATATGTCCAGTGGATTGCACAGACAGACAAGCGTCTAGGTTGCTGTGATTAATTGCGTTCTTAGAAAACCGACCAAGACGAATGGGGTCTTTGGCAATTAAATAGCTGTTGTCGCTGTCTGTCACCAGTTTAACTTCTGCAAAGCCAACTGTCGTTTTGTACTGGACTCCTTCGAGACAAGACATCATCGCATCCAGACGGCCAGTAGAGATTGATCCTATTGTATTCAGAGTTGTTATTGAAAAAAAGTAATAAGTCGATGTCTTGAGAATTTACATTGTTTATTAAAAATAAAAGAGTATTATTAAAATAGGACTCGTATGCATTGTATAGGAAGAGAGAATTCATGACTGCTATTTATAATAATGCCGTCAGCGTGATCATGTATGCTATTATTGTTGTCAGTACTTTTCATCAGATGCGGTAGAGGAATGTAAAGTAGAATGTATGCACCACTGTAAGATTATAATTGAGTTATTATAATGATTCATATCAAACACGTCAATAAAAAATGAACGAGTGATTATAATAAGGGGAATGATTTTAGTAAACAACAATTGAACTGATATCTTCTAACACTATAGATGATAGATAATGATAAAGTATGTTTATTAAACAAAGTCTATAATGTTATGAAGAACCAAGGCGATAACCTTGGCCAGGGAAACTGCCTGGTGATGACGCTGTGTTGCTGCTGTTGTTGTTATTTGAATAAGAGGTATTGGCAAATGAAGTACTATTTGGGTTAGTAATAGGTAGATACACTCCATGTTCATTCACAGGAACATAATTGGGCGCAGAAATAAGAGGAGTTAACCATGGCTTCTTTTCAAATCTTGCAAATGACTCGTCAGAGGAAGTCAAGATCTTGGGTAATTTTTCATGCACGTCTATTTCATTGGTAAGTGAAATCAATGTATTGGATATAAACTTACAGAGATAGCCAATGACTGCAGAAATCAAGTTCAACAGAAAGGAAGAGTCAGGAACTAGAAATACAAAGAATAACAAGGCCAACATTGGCATCACCTTGTTTGGTATCCGAATAGAACCTGGTAACCTATATAAATTGATTAGAGCGTACACATATAAACATGTATATACAACTCTACATTCTGTTATCACTGGATCCATTACGATCGTCTTCTAAATAGGACCAGAATATTAAAGCAACTACCCAACCTGTCATACCAGCGTAAACGACGTCCTTTAGACCTTGATCATATGTAGGCATAGAAAAGGATATGACAGTAACAAGTATCACGTATCCTAAGCCAGGAAGAAGTGTATAGAGTAGAAATGTTAACCATGCAACCTTGATTGTTCCATGCCTTTTTTCCAACTTGTGCAATTCTGGCAATAGCCAAATAGTTGTTATCAATAGCTTAGCAAAGGAAGTAGAGCCAAGTGGGTACAAAACAAGCCTTTGTACTAATAAATTCTTCAATGACTTGCCTATAGTAAAACAGTAATAATAATTACCTTGAAGACCGTTGAGTACTTTATCCACACTAAGAAAGCACCACTGACTTATGCTTTGTGAATACACCAATAATAATATGTTATCCAATAAGTATATCACATAGGGTACAATCAACGCAAAAACAGAGAAAGGAGGTAAAGATAGCAACATCTCTTTCACATGAGTCATAAACATGCGTGTTGCATCTCCATTATTATTTAAAGTTGTCGTATTCTGATTGCTGTTGTTCATGACAAAATGGTTCAAAAGAGCAAATTAAGGCTCCGCACATCACTTGGAAAAAAATAAAATTATCCCAAATTGCACTTTTTTTTTCTTGTGTGTCAAAAGAAAAAAATGTCTGATTTTAAGCAGGTAAAAATTACAAGCATTCTTTAGTGCATATTCAATAACTCATCATAAATAGAAACTGATTGAGGCTAAAAGAGCTGAAGTATTAGCAACACTAGCCAAGTTTCAAAAACAAGGAGCAATCAATTCACAGCAACAATCAGCTGCACGACCACCACCACCACAACAACAACAACAGCAACAACAAGCACCTGCCAACAATAAGAAGAGCGCTCCTGGACCAAGTAATGGCACTTCCACAGGTCTCAACTTGATTGAACTTCAACGCAGAATTGCTGAAGCAACAAGTCGTTTGTCCCAAAATAACAATGCGGTAACATTAACAACAATAATCGTAAACACATACTAACGTCAATCCAAAGGTACGTACAACACCTGGTGCGCCCTTACGTGTTTCTGAACTCAAGCCACCAGCTTTCCCTGTAGACGAATCGGGGCATATCGATCTCAAGGCAATGATGGATAAGGGCATTATACCCAGAAGAGAAACTCCCAATACAAAGGTAAGACTGATATTTATATACACATTGATTTAACTGATTACCCTCCCCCCCCCCCTCTCCTTGATATAGGCTGCACAAAGAAATAAGCAAACACCAGCAGCGGCACCTAGTCCACCAAGAGCACAAAAGAGAAAATTATTACTAGAGGAAGTTCCTTCTGACTTTACGGATCCTAGCAAAAATCCTTATTTTGATCCTTCATTAGGAGCCCCAGTCGCTCCCAAAAATCGTCGTTCACGTCCACTAAAATTTGTTCAGCCTGGTAAATACATTGACATCGCAAATCAAGAAAGAGCAAAGGCACAATTGGAAAAACTAAAGCAAGAAATTACTGAAAGTGTAAAGAAGGCGGGTATGCAGACAGAATTTGACGTGTCTGATAAAGCTATCAAGGTAAGAGCAAATGCCTGATTCCTAATCCTATCCTGATTTTTTTTTTTTTTGAAAAAGAGAGACGCGCCTCCAGCTGTCGAATGGTGGGATGCTCCATTTACAAAAACATATGAGGAATTGAATGACGCAGACATAGACCCTGATAAATATGAAACACTAGTTACCATGTATATCCATCACCCTGTGCCAATTAAGCCTCCTAGTGAAGCAAATGCACCACCTATTATCAAATCACTTATGCTTACTACAAAAGAAAGAAAGAAGTTGCGCAGACAGACAAGAGCAGAAGCACAAAAGGAGAAGCGTGATAAGATCAGACTTGGTTTAATAGAACCTGATCCACCAAAAGGTAAAAAGAAAAACAAAATATATAGGATGAAACTAACTAGTGATATAGTTAAAATTAGTAACCTGATGCGTGTCTTGGGCGAAGAAGCAGTACAAGACCCAACCAAGGTCGAAGCGCGGGTTCGTAGAGAGATGGAACAACGTCAGAGAATGCATGAAAAAGCCAATGAGCAACGTAAGCTAACTCCAGAAGAAAGGCGAGCCAAGATTTTAAACAAGCTGAAGGAGGATCAAAAGATGAGTAATGAAGTGGCTGTATTCAAGTAAGTAATGAAATGGTCGCTTGAGGACATTTCCACTTATATAATTCTGTGTAGGATAAAATCTTGTTCCCATCCAAAGCATAGATACAAGATAGAAATGAATGCACAACAACTTCAATTGACAGGAATGGTCATTGTGCATCCTAAATGCAATATTGTTATCGTGGAAGGTGGGCCAAAGAGTATTAAGGCATACAAGAAGTTGATGTTAAGACGTATTGACTGGAATGACATGCCACCTCCAAAAAATCTTGCAGTTGATGAAACAGCTATGGACATTGATCAGCCTAGAAACAGTTATGGTCTTAAAGAAGGAGAAGAAAACAAGTGTTTCCTCGTTTGGACAGGATTGGTTAAAGAGAAATCATTTAAGAAGTTTACTTGGCGTTCTTTTGAAAGTGAAAAAATGGCCAGAGAAGAATTAAGCAAGTGGCATGTAGAACACTATTGGGATGCTGCTATCATGGCTACAGACGAGGAACTTGCTACTAGACAACCTGAATTGTAAAGCATTGCAGCAGTCAATTTGAAATAAAAAAATTACTTTTAATGTATAGAACGAGTGCTGATGACAGCAGCTTGATGACTTTCAATAGAACCTTATTTATACAGATTTCTATGCATATGTAATACATATACAATTCATTCTTATTATATCTATCAGACACACGTCCATGATAGCTAGTATCACAGGGTAAATACCATCAATATAATAGCCAATGCATAACAATGTTATTTTTAAAAGTAAAGCTTATAATTAAAAATATATTGTAAAGTATTGATTTGCTTTTAAATTATAAAGATTGTTTGCGAGTGGGTGAAGCTTCACGCTTGGAGCTACCATCTAAAGCAGGTGTGTAATCAAAAGCCTGATCAAGTGAGCGAAGAAGCTCTGGAACCTGGGGCTTTGATACGCCATTATGCAAAGAGTAATACAGCCAATCATTTGGGAGAAGAAGTTCTGAAATTGCGTCAGGATCATTACGATTTTCATCAATTGGGTGTGCTAAGGAAGAGCTAAGTAAACAGGCAGCTGTAAAAGTAAGAGTGATGAAAGAGAATCGCATTCTTGAGGAAATGTGCTGTGAAAAGTTGATTTGAAAGAAAACAACAAAAATATACGTCTTTTGATATGTGTTCCAATCACTCACTTTTTACTATAATGTGAACAAGGAAATATTTCCAATATACAAAGGATGTATTAGCAAAACCTTAAAGGTAAGAGAGATGATACATACGGTTTTTGCATATCTCAGTTGGTACAGAGCATAGGTTATCTTGGATTTAATAGTCGGAAGCTATGACCGTATCCAATGGTTGCTTTTTACCAAACATAATGCTTATGATCTACTTTGGATTATCTCATTGCTCCTGCTTTCAGAGTTTTTCTTTCTATTTTTTTGTTTGTTTAAAGAATTTTCTTGGGGAGGCATTGCATAATGCCCTTATGTGACTCTGAATTACGAGACAACTTTGATGTGTTTTGATTTTAATTCGTTCTTGATGCTGTTCTATTATTTATTTCATGATCTAGGTTATGATACTGCATTTGCCGTGAGAAGGGCTATTAGAAGTGAAAATTTATGTTCAAAGGAAAGATTCTATTTAGTTTGACGTATTATTGAAAGCGCGTATACGCAGTCTTATAATATACAAATATACTCTATTCAAACTGATTACAGTCATTTATCTCAATGTCAGTCATAAGCAGACACTGTTCTACGACACATACTTCCCAGGAACAGATATCATACTTGACAAAGATAGTTAAATCAAGCCCAAAGACAAGTGCTATAAATTCACAAATTAGCACATATAATGCTTATTACGCCATATTACATGATTATCAAATAAACAGTACGCTAATAGTAGTAAATGCATAACAGTGTTTTTAAAAAGATCTATAAAAATTGCTCTGGAGCGTTATTTTATGCAAATGTCGGTGTTTGAATTATATGAATGAAAGGGAAGCAAAAGTACCTTGATGAACCTTCTCCTCTTCTGTGTGAATTAAAGAAAAATGGTAAAGATCCATCATCCATCCATCCATAAAACAATCCATCCATCCGATAAAAGCAACAATAAGTCGCAAAGAAAGATCAGCATGTCATGATTTTGTTATTGTGGATGACAAAAATAATAGTGAACAGCTAATTAATGATATTTGCTTAGGTCAACATCCCAAAGACCAGAAACACCTACTGCAAGGGCGCTAAATGCAGAAAGCACACACCTCACAAGGTTACCCAATACAAGGCTGGTAAGGCCTCCTTGTTCGCTCAGGGTAAGAGACGTTACGACCGTAAGCAATCCGGTTATGGTGGTCAAACTAAGCCTATTTTCCACAAGAAGGCCAAGACCACCAAGAAGGTTGTCCTTCGTCTTGAATGCACTTGTAAGATCTCGTACTAATGTGAAAGGTGAAAATGTGTATTAATTGATCATATAGCTTGCAAGTACAAGATGCAACTTGCTCTCAAGAGATGTAAGCACTTCGAATTGGGTGGTGACAAGAAGACCAAGGGTGCTGCTCTTGTTTTCTAAACATTATACTTTCTTTTTTTGGCTCTCCCTTCCCCTCTTTCCTTGTGTGTGTGGGTATTTGATGAGTGTAATAAATTTAGTAAATGTCATCTCTAAAATCACACATGGTCCTTTTATTTCTTTTTTCTTCTTTCTTCCCTCTCTATTGACAAATGCAACAGGCCTTAAAATCAAAACAGCTAGCAGAAATCTTGACCACGGCATTTAAAACAAAGAAGCTTGTGGAGCTTAGAGAGATTGCGCGATCAAGCGGTATATATCAACAAGGCACCAAGTCAGACATTATACAACGACTTGTTAGCGAGCTACCAAGTAAAACACCATCGTCCATACTCTCTTTTGATCTCGGTTACCGAAACTTGGCTTATTGTGTTGTCACTCAGGATGCTACCATCTTGGACTGGGCACGCATCGATCTCGAATTGACTACATTTCACCCGTCCGTTGTTGCGCCTGTTGTAAGAAAGTTTATAAAGGATCGAATAGAATATAACATGAAAACAGTGGATTTAGTTCTTGTAGAACAGCAAAGGGCGCGCTCGAACGGTTCATGGACAGTACTTGAACATACACTTCGAGTTAATTCAATAGAAGGAATGATCTGGTATGGGCTGTATGAAACGGCTAATAACATCAAACGACCTGATTTGGATATGATCGCCTTGAGCCGTCAAAAGGTGGATGCTGCATGGGAGAGTGAACTTCAACGGGCGGCAGCACAAACTGCAGTGAACAATAGAACGACCTACAAGAAGAAACAGGCTGCTGTTCGTCTAGTTCAAAATTGGTTGAATGAAAAAGAAAACTCAGCCATCAAACTTGACGATCGACTTAAAGATATGTTTAGAGAAGAGCCAAAAAAGGATGATCTAAGCGATTGTTTACTTCAAGCTCTTGCTTGGTATAAATGGCAGCAGTTTAAACAAAATTATGTTCATTTATTGACAAGTTAACTATTTTAATTGACAGCAATACCTCTGCCAAATCTATCGGTAAAACTACCATGTAATGTTACAGCGTTAAATGCACCTATTGTGCTTCGAGCCACCTCTTTCATAGTTGCTGCATCCAGTATCAATAAAAAGCATGATTCTGATCCATCTTTAGTACTTGAATTCACAATGGACAAAATAGCACCGTCGTCTTCCTTGGTGCCATCTGGGTTGGGTATAAAGACAGGTTCAGAGCAAGAGCAACCGGGTTCGTCCCATATTTTTGATGGACTGTCTAGATCGGTATTAGAACCCAAATATGGTTGATCGAGATCGAGCTTGATTAAACCATTGACTACAGCACCAGAAGCATAAGAAGGCGCATGACGCGATTCACAAACGCCATAGCAGTAGCGATACTTCTTCAAGTTGTACAGTGAATTGAAACGAGGTAATTCGATGTCGTAGCCAATGACTGTATAAGAGGCCACACGACGTTTATTGTATGCTGTTAATGAAAGTGGTGTAAGATCGGACCAGGAAGAAGACCACTTTTCTGTATCAGGTTTGGAAACAGGCACTTGTCCAAGTCGGTAGCGACGGAACTGTGAAGGTGCAATCTTGTGTTCTGTCTTGTTTGCTGTCGCTTTAACGAATCGGGCTGGTTGAACTTTATCAAGATTGATCCTGCCAGAAGGCGACTTTCCAAGTTCAAAGCTGGCATCGATAATATCCGTGTTTTCATACATGCAATAGTCCATAAAGATGACTCTTTCTTTATGACCACCTGGCAGTTCAATATCTTCGTCCCAAGCATTGGCCACATGAAAAGAAAAGCAAGGCTCAGCTTCATAAGTAGCAACATGATGACCTGTGTGACGATCAATGACATGGAAGAGAGTATGACGAGTTTCATCCCAATAGAATGTCTGATAAGCATTTGAGTAATAAAGAGCAGCTAGTCCACCATAAGAGTAGTAATAAGGAAAATTGGGTATAATGATGTAATTCTTGGTGAGGCTAAAGGAGTGAATGTACGATGGCTTCAAGATTTCGATAGTCTTCCAGGCACCCAAGTGACGCCAAATAGGTTGATGAACTCTAACTTGTTGCTCAGATGCCTTTTCTTTTCCCCTAGGAGCCGTTGGTAAATAAGGACTGATTGAAAACGTTTGAAATGATGGAGCAGGACCGAGCTTGACTGTGAAATTGATATACTCGTCAGTTTCTTCGTCATATTGATGATGTGAAGAACAGAGCTGTCCTTGGAGCTGTTCACTGACATGACCATAAGTAAACGCCTTTATCGGCTCTATATAAATAAATGTAAGTTTGTTGTGCTCTTGATATATAAGGCAGTATATATAACTTACTTAGTGTATCCTTATCAACAACCTGTAGCGTATTCGCGTCTCGTTTAACCACCAATGCGTCGCCTCGTTTAATACCTGTCTCCTTCTCTAGCCTCTCGCCCAAAGGAAAGTTGGGTGTAATAGTAACATTAACCATTTCAAACTCTGGATCTTTCTCCAAAAGAGCAACATTGATGCTATGCTTGACTATATGATGAAAAACGGACTGAATTCGACCAAAGATGGTTTTACATGGATCAGGGCCAAATGTCAATAAAGTCTTGTCTTGTTCCTTGTACCTCCTCTCCGTACCATGGGATGTATGACGTGAGTTGTAATATATCTCTTGGGTTTCTCCAGATATTTCAAAGCGATGGAGCATAGCAAGGCCATCGAATGGATGCTCAATATGAAACGTATCACCATTATTCATCAATATGTTATAACGGCCAGCGCCTAAGGTACAAATCAATGAACAATCATATATAGAAAGTTTCGAAATTACCTGTTCTATAAAAGATACCATTGACCCAAGAGGGTATTTTGCCATAAATCTTTAGTTGAACGGGTGTCTCGCAGGCAGGGACGTTTTTAAATCCTGAAGGCGAAGGTGCTGGTTCGTTTTTGTCCTTGTTTGGATTGTTTTCAGCTAATGTAATCATTTAAAAGAAATTGAAAACAAAAACAAAAAAGATAGAAAAGTATGAAAGATTCCTTTTATATGTTTCTTATGTTTATTTTGGCATGTTACAACTTTTGATATGCAGTGGATAAAGTTAAAAGGAGGAAGAAGAATATTTTGAGAAAGGAGAAATTTGATTTCATTGTTCTAAATTTACTTTATAAGTAAAAACTTGCTTCTTTCAGGGCGGAAAGAACAAAGAAATTATATGCATGTTAATACTGTAATTCAGATAATATATTGGTTAAAAATAATTGACCTGCTTATGAAAACCGTCTGCTCGGCCTTATACTAGTCTGACTATTTTTAATATATATTCTCAATGTAAATCTTTATGAGAGCAATGTTAACAAGCCACTAAATGGATATACACCAAAACAGGTAGAAGGGACAAAGGGGGCCAGGAGTACAAGACCAAGCGTTGACTGGTAAAGAAAGAATATCTTATTAGGTTTCTGCATATATGTTGATATTATCTCGTGTAGTAAGCAATACGCCTTCTTTTTGCTTCAAAAATGCTTTCATAATGTAGCCATTTCAAAGGTTAATATTAACTCAAGTTCTTTCATATTGCCTATCCTGCAAGGATCATTGATACCTCTTAACCATGACCAGAGTAGTACTTTTATATCTCATTCACTTTTGTTTCTGGTGAACTCTCTTTTATCATTTGCGTAACCCGTGTTCAAAGGTGACCTTGCCTTTTTGTGGATAAACATTCAAATACCATGAATTTATTAATACGAACTCACTTAACAACATCGCATTATTCCTGAATTTGAACCTATGACTTGAAAACGAGAGAATAATACCTTCACTGTATGTAGCGAAAACTACAAGAGGTGTTTTATTTATTTATTTAATTTCTATACATTTTAAGATATCAAATGACTAAAACCTTCTTCACTCTTAAAGTTCTTGATGCACAAGCTTGGGTGCTTGATGAGTAGGATACTTAGTACCTTTTTTCAAACCTATATAAACATTGTATAAGAGTTGGTGTATATATATATTTTCTCCCAGACTTACATTCTATTGTTTCTTCATCAATTTCTGAAGGGAATATCACCTGGTATTCAACAAACAAATCGCCATGCTTTGAAGGATTATTTTCCAATGGCATTCCTTGACCCTTGATCGTCTGCACGAAGCCATATTGAGTAATGCCTTTCCTGACGAGCTCAATAGTGGAATGATCCAAATGTTTGAGCGTTTTAGTGAAACCGGTGAGCGCTTCAATCAATGTAATATGTTGTGTGGTATAAAGATTATCCCCTCTTCTTTCAAATGTTGGATGTGGAGTCGCGTTTATCACAAACACAATATTTCCAGGAATTGTTTCTGGAAACTCGTCCGATTCTTCTTCAAGGACCTGTAAGAAAAAAAAAGACATCGATATAACACTTTTCCCTTTTCTCATGTTTTCATACTCACAATGCTCTGGCCGTCCTTCATGCCTTTTTCTACACGAAGCGTGTAGTTTTCATTACCTCGACGCACTTTCTTACCGCCACAAGCAGGACAGACATGGGCAATGGTTTTTCCCTTTCCACCGCATGTTGTACAGTGCTGTTGAAACTGCTGAAACATACCAGGACCCATTTGGACACGCTTAATGATCATGCCATGTCCATCACAAGTTGAGCAGGTACGGATATCTTCAGGTCGACGCGCGCCACTGCCATGACAATGATCACAAAGTACTTGCTTTGAGACGTCTACTTCAATATTTGCGCCGTTATATAAATCCTCAAGACTGACTTCAAGCGGGATAACCGTATCAGGTCCCCTCCTCTCCTGGTGTCTAGCGTTTCTACCTCCTCCTCCAAAAAAGTGCGAGAATATATCAAATGGATCGTGGAAAGGGTTACCGCCTCCTCCGCCTTGGTTTTGTTTCAATCCTTCCTCTCCATAGCGGTCATAGATGGCCCTCTTCTCGTCATCCATCAAGACTTCATAAGCTATTATGCAAATCAGTATTCTGTAGTTATCTCTAATTTCCCCTTCTACGTTACCATTTGCTATTTCCATAAACTTTTGCGATGCTTCGTCATTTCCTGGATTCTTGTCCGGATGGTATACTCTTGACAGTTTCTTGTAATGTCGTTTAATTTGTGCTTTTGGTGCATCTCTTGGGACATCCAGAATACTGTAATAGTCTTTTGCACTAACAAACGCGATAAGCAGCACTGCTGCAAACAATAGCCAACTCAAACAAGAAGGCCGCATAATCTAATATGTACACTTAAGAAAAAAAAAAAGGGACAAAGGGCTGATAAAAGGAAGGGGGAAAGTTCAGTTGATTATTTGTAAAAAATTTATTGGATAGAAGATTTTTATAAAGCTTCCAGACCCTTATCGGAATGGATCAAGACGATACGACTCTGTACGTCAAATGGATTTCCAGAGTATACAATAAAGTCATTAGCTTGGTTTACAGAGACCGAGTTTAAGCCATAGATATCACGGATATTTGAGGTTATGAATTGAATAGCTTGCGTCTCAGTGATTGCTCCACCTTCCAAGTTATGGGCTGGTGATGTAGCAGCTAACCATCCTGCATCCCATGCCAAGTTACGAGCAAGACCATCGTCTGAAATACCAACACCGATCTTGACGCCATGGCTGTGCAAGACATGAGCAGCGGTTCCATTGGTTAATGGTGCTCCAGTCAAGCAGTGAATTGAATCAAATCGTGAAGGGGTACAGAGGACGGGACGAAGGATGACAGGAATATCGGCTTCTGCGAGATGGGGTGCGACAAGGTAAGCCTCGGTTCCTCCAATGATAACAAACTTTGCTTTGGGAAGGTGGTTGCGTTTCAAGATAACAAGGGAAGCAATTTCATCCTTGTTGTGGGCCGCAATCACCGTAGGGATCTCACCACGAGCAGCCTGGCCATAGTGGTTGTTTTCCTTCAAGTTTTCAGTTAATAGTTGGCGAATGAAGCTAATTTGGCTGGAAATAGTAGGGAAACTATCAGACTTGACGTCATCACCGATTTGAAGATGAAGAGCAACAGCAGGTGAAATAATAGTACCATCATTAAGAACTAGGATGAGTTAATATACTTGTTGTTTCTTGTATAGTAGTGTAAGCTTACTTGAATCAGCACCAGTTTTGAATGCAGCAGAGACACCAATAATAACGTTGGAAGACATGGGAGCAGTAATAGCTGTCAGAATACCTCCTTTGTAGGCCTCTTCCAAATGACGGGTTCCAAGCTTGATACCATCAGCAGCAAATATGATATCCTTAGGATCCTTTGATTTACTAGGGCGGCCTGTTCCGTCACCAGTGCCAGCCTCGCCTTGGATTTCGATGAGACCAAGTTGGGAGCCAACACCTACAAGTCCCTGAATATAAATAGTTAGATTCCTCATCATTCGGAATCGATATGTACTTACTGGAAGGACGTATCCGCCTTGAATGTTGTACTCTACAACGGGCTCATTCGACTGAATAGAAGAGACAGAAGTAGAACAATCGGTACCAGAGCAAATAACGGAGCCATCGACAACGACGACATCAATTGGGCCCTTGACAGGTTCCTGACCAAGGAAAGAGTAACCTACATTCTTCAATACAAAGTTCTTGGCATTTTCTATAGACTGGAGATTTTCCTTTTTTAAGGTAGCAGCAGTTGCTTGCTTCTTAACAGTAGGCTCTATAGGGCGCTCTTCAAATAATGGGACACCATCAATGAATACCTGTAAAGGCGTGGCACCTAATTCAAGAGGCTCGCGGTCCCAGATGACGACATCAGCATCATAACCGACCTTAAGAGAACCAACACGGTGACCTAACCCAATGGCATTGGCAGGAGTTGACGTAACGGTCTTGAAAGCTTCTTGAGGAGGCAAACCATAGTGTGTGGACTTGGCTGCTTCAAAGGCAAGATGTTGGGAGTTGAGGACAGGGTGATCGCTCTTTAATGCTACTGGAATACCAGCATCGTACAGAATCTTGGGCGCTTGAGGGATAGCCTGGAAAGCTTCCTTCTTGTAACCCCAGTGATCAGCAAAGGTAGCAACAGTGATGTTATTGCGAGCACGGCGCAAGATATCGGGGATTCTGTAGGCATCCAATGCGTGATGAAATGCGCTAATGGTAAAGTTAAATTCCAAAGAATGACGAATCATGGCTTCAATATCATGCGTTTCGTAACAATGGACGTTTAAAAGGACTTCACCACGCAATAAGGCAACAAGAGATTCAAGGCTCAAGTCTTCTGGGAAAGGTGTATCAAAGCGAGACGATGTGCCTTCAGCGGCTCTACACCAGTCGTCTTGTTCTCGCATCAGCTTTTGAGCTTCTGCAAATTGCTTACGGAATAAATATGCTTCACCCAAGCCTACAACAAAGTATAAGGAAAAATAGACTTTAGCGGCTGTTTATATGTACGTACGAGTAGAAGGCATATAACCAGCATTTCCATAAACACGCTAATGCATAAACTATTAGCTTGAAGCCAAATTGTAATTGAATAAGATTACCTTTGGGTTTTCACCACAGGCCATCTTCATCCATCTCCATTTGGTATCTTCAGTGTTGTCAATGTTGGCTTGCACAAGCATATCTTCATTGCTGAGAGTAGAGATATGACGGAGCTTGAATGCAAATGCTTCACCGCCCATCAAGTTACCAGAGCCAGGCAGGACTAAAGCGGTAGTTACACCACCAGATGACACAATTCGAATCGCGTTATCTGAAGGATTAAATGCATCAATTGTACGAACAAAGGGAGTCAAAGGCTGAGTCATTTCATTTGTATCATCTGTTGCATGTAGCTCAGGCCAAGAATCAACACCCATATGGCTATTTCTTGTGAGTATAGTTCATAACTTTTTCTTTTATATTTACCTGTGCATGTCTACCAGTCCAGGACTTACTACGTGACCAGCAACGTCAATGACTTTGACATCCTTGTTTGAGTCAAGACTGATATTTTTTTCGACTTGACGGATAACACCACTTTCTATATAAATATCGACATCTTCCAGGACATTACCTTGACCATCCCAAACGACAGCATTTTTCAATAAGATGGGTTTTTGGTTAGGATCTGCTCTTGGGTTCTTGGCACGAGTGGAATCCGGCCTGTTCTTCTCTCTACGTCTGTTCTTTATAGCTTCACATTTTTCTCTACCGCGCTGCATAGTTATTTCGGATACACCCGATTTAACTGTGAATGGTTGGTGTCCTTTGGGCAGTAGAGATGATTCAGGCAACAATGAAGAAAATAAGACGATTCCCAAGAGGACAGCAACGATGAAGACAATGACAATGTAAGCAAGGTTTCTTTTAACAAACTGCTTGAACCCGTCTGCACGTTCAGGCCATGATGGTTTGGTATGACTAGGCAAGAGTGGATCCGATGAAGAACCTCCTCCCTCTTCATCATTTCGAGGAATAGAGGAATATCCTTGATTAGACGACATTTCCTCAAGGACAAGATATAAACGAAAAAACGAAAAAAGAGAAAAAGGTGAACCTATTTATAATGCGTACTTCATCCAAACTTGATTTCAAAAAGCGAACTGTGACAGCAGTCCTAGTGTGTGGTACGCACCAACCTTTTTGGAAATTTTTACCTTGTTCATATTACTCCTATCTCTCGGGTACCTCTCTTTTTTTATGCAATTGCTCATCTATGGGAACTCTTGAGTGATAATCTCTATTCATCTTTTTATCAAAAATGATAAAGGGAGGAAAATTATGAACAGCATTTATTTTCAGATTTTTTACCATGTGTCAAGCTATTGTTATTGTTATAAACAGAAGGTGGACGTAGGCGGATGGTGTTGACTGTATTTACAGGTAAAGCATGTACATCTCGTGATGTATTCCTTTTCAATAGTTTACTTTTTGATAATTCTTTATAAATCTGGTTGAACATAGTCTCGAATGCCAAAGTCACGTTTGTTGTATCATAAGCACTTGCTTCAAAAAACATCATTTTCGATTTTGATGCATAGTTTTTTGCTTCTTCTGTACTCACAGCACGACTTGTGTCTGATAAATCTATCTTATTTCCAACTAGCACAAGTGGGATAGAATCCTCTATATGTTCATTTAACTCTTCTAACCACTGTGCGATATGATTAAATGATGATTTCCTGGTAATGTCTAAAACAATTGTATATATATATTCTAGTTCTTTTTGAAAAATAGCAGCATGACTTACCATAGACTAACAAAGCACCTACAGCTCCTCTATAGAATGCACTCGTAATCGCCTTGTAACGCTCCTGACCGCTTGTATCCCATAACTGAGCTTTAATAACGTGATTATCCTAAGCTTGTCATCAGTCAAAGTTTAAGCTGCGCACACTACAAGTAAAATTTGCACTTGTTAAATTCTAATGTCACGTTAACCATTGGTTGATTTCGCTTGCTGACATATTAAATGTCGAATATGTAGAAGCTTTGTCGTGCAAAATACAAGCATATTAAGCATGAAAGCACTGTCAGATTTCTTTTTACTCTCCTTCTCATTAAAATCCAAGCATTACAAAATGAGCTTTCAAATTCTCTATGAAGACAGGTATAGTAATGCAGTTGATGAATACGGTAGACCTGAGTCTATGGACTACATCATTGATGAAGAGCGATGTGCTTTAGAAACAGTTAGTTCACACATTCAGTATTTGCATAATCAACCTCAGGAGAATAATTTCGATGTAGGTTCTATGGAAGATGAAGATGCAAAGGATAACGTAGATGTTTGTATGAAGGAGGTGTTGACTAAGCGGGCGTACACACTCTATACGGATCAAGACAAAGTTAGATTCTTTAAACTGATGTTTGAGAAAGCTATGAGTGTTTCAGCTGCTGCAAAACGATTAGGCATTCATGTTCGCACAGCTCAAAGATGGGCTCAAATGTACAAAACGGATCCTGATAGTATTTTTATAAAGTATAAGAAAACCGGTCGCTCGCGTATACTTCAAGTAGAATACAAGCAAGTGATCTTGGAGTATATAGATGAGAATCCTTCAGCCGTCTTGGAGCAAGTAATGGATCAACTACTTCAAAAGTTTCAGGATTTCAAGGTCTCTAAAAGCACTGTCAACAATTTTGTAAGAACTGAATGCAACTTGTCACTCAAAAAACCCCAATTTCAGCCTGTAGATAGGAGCAGTGAAGAAAAGATTCAGGAGCGTTTTGACTGGGTTCATAAGTGGAAGTGTACGGATATGGACTTTAGAACTAATTGCATCTTTCTCGATGAGTCTGCGTTTCATATTAATTTAAACGTAGTATGGCTTGGTCAAAAAAAAAAAAAAAGACTGCCTGCTGTAGTCACAGTACCCAAAACCCGAGCACAAACAACAACGATTTTAGGTGCGATCTCTGCTTTAGGATTAATAAAGTGTGGCCTGAGCTTACCGCAGCCGCCAGCCAAGAGAAGAAAGAGAGAAGGCTATGTTGAGCTAACGAGCATAGGGACAGTAACTGGTCATTATTTTAGCTTTCTGATGGCCACGAAGGATAAAGTGGATCAGTACCCACATATGAAAGGGCACTACCTTATTATGGATAGCGCTCCTATCCATAAATCTGAAGATATTGCTAAATATATTATATCCCCCGGCTACCGTTATGCTTATTTACCGTCATACTCCCCTGAACTTAATCCAACTGAGCAATTCTGGTCAGCTGTTAAGAGCAAAGTAAAGCGCAATAGGTTATTGGAAAAAGAGACACTGATGACGAGAATTAGTGAGACGTCTAGTAGTTTAAGAGCAAGTGACCTCAAAGGCTTTGTTCGGCATTCATATAAATGTTTGGACAAATGTCGCGATAGAGAACATTTTTAAACCTGTCTTGAAGCATACATATTTATATCTTAGTTACATGACTCATCTTAATCTTATTCATAGAACACGTTTACTATATTTTCAATGTATTTATATTTCTTCTGTACAACAACATTTAGTCATTCAACATAATGGTTGATTATTTAGGCAATATGCTGTGATTACCATAATACTATGTACCAAGCAAATGTATTCTTTGTTTTCTTTATTTCATTTCTTTTTTGTATTCAATGGGATAACAATCTTTTAGCTACAGAAACTAAAAGTCATTCAAGCTATCCATCAGATATCTTAATAATGAGCCATTTCTCTCTCTATTTAGTAATTCAAGAAGCTTTTACATACTGTAAAATTAAGAGGTATACCTCGCATTTTCTGTACAGTTTAACTTTAACCATGTCCAAAGGCTTCATATCAATTATTTTATTCCGAGAATAACATGATATATATCACTCTTGTTCATTATTAGTTCTAAATATATGGTCATGCATTTGAATATATACATGATTACTACTTGAATTTTTGTGCTGCTGGTAACATAATGAATTTCATTATAAAAAGGGCACTATTTTAGCTACGAAATCATTCATTTCACTATCAATTCATTCTTTTTCTTTATTAAAAAAGGCTTTTAATCATCTTTTTACTCAAGTAAGTAAAAGCGTAGTTAAACTGTCGGAAGCGACCTTCAACTAACAATACATCTAATAGACATACTTCCATCGCTCTTATTTTTTAAAATCAATCTTTAGATGCCTTCGGGGTAAGTTGTATATATATAATGATTTTCTTACATAACTAGCTGTATAATTCTTTATATTCTCTCCTTGGTACTTATTGCTCTCATTTGTATGCCGTCTCTTTTTGTACGCATTTTATTTTTAACCTTTGCGTAAATACTTTTTTTTATATGTGTCAATCATGTTTTTCATACGTGCCATAATTTTATCCTCTTTCTGAAATTTATTTTTAATAAAACAGTAGCGTTATCACTACTATACACATATGACGGGATTAGAGTACTGGTGACACCTTAATATACTCTTAACACAACGTCACCGTTCTATCTACATATATATTCTCCTTTCTTCATTCTAATAAACGGCATATTTGATCTGTTTAAGTCTTTAAGGATCCAAATTCAACTTATTGATTTAGCAGCTCCCCGCAGGGGCCCCGTTGAAGATGCGAGTTGAGCACTTCGCATAAAGCAGATACAGTTAACTTTGATATGCTTTGTTTTGTTACCAATTAGACACATAAATTAACCACATATTAATTTACAGTACCTGAAGGTAACTATTTGTAATACAAAGCTGCAGTATCTGTAAAAACGCGTGACGTGAAACTCTTACGTTTTCTTTTGTCTTAAATCTTATATTTTATACAACAACTGTTAGTAGATTCTATATACTGATCTTCATTTCAAATCAGTTCATAAAAAGCAACCATTTTATTATGTCACGTAAGTTTATCTTTTGGCCGAAAATGAAAAATAAAAACTAACCACTAGTAATTTTTTAGAAGAAACTGACGACTATGTTATTACAATTTCACTACCGACAAAGCCTGGATCAGACTTGGCAAGTAAACTCCTTCTGCAACACGAAGAAATTATCCACACAATTGTAAATAACGTAACTGGTAAGTTGCGCTAGCGCCACCAAGCATTTGCGTTTTGAGTAACTAAAAAAACCTTTCTCTACAATTCTAGACGGTGATATCAACGGAAGCATGTACAAAGCAACAACGAACGAGTATCCAGATAGCAGAAAGTCAGATGTTGTTTATATTCCTCATTCATGCAAAATCACTGAAGCAACTTCGCCCATTGTAGTGGAAATCCAGCAGATTATTGACTGGTCGTTTATGAGAAGACTGATGCGTTACTGTCTAAGTATTTGCGATGCGCATAAAGTAATGCCTAAAGTATTAGTCTTCGCCATCAAAGGGTTTTCAAGTAAGGCCTTCTTAAATGAGTTTACTTTGGAAAGAGGATATTACACTATCAATAGCAAGATGTGGGCTCAGACTATCAGAGTATATAGCCTTGATTCAATTGCCGATTTAGTCGATTACCAAGAAACCCTTAGACCAATTGTAGCATTAGTATATTTTCTTTGTAGTCAAGAAAAATCAATAATCAGCCTTGACCTGTGTGATGATGCCGAAATAAGGAAACTTTATGTCTTAGCAGAGGAAATATTTTCGGATTATATTGTGAACGAGAAAACAGCAGATGATTTTGCTTTGGATATAATCAAGAAAACAAGCTCTCAATTCTCTAAAATAATATCATGTGCTGAATCTTCAAATCAATCCTCATTGAAAAAAATAATTGCATATGCAAAAAATGGAGTGGAGTACACAAGCAAAAAAAGAAAACTATTTGTCGGCGATACAGAAAAATCTCCACATGTAACACCAGTAGAGGTAGAAGATAGTGCTGATCTACACTTTGTAAAACAATACCTTGCAGCATTAAATGGCCAAAAAACTGACTGGAAGAAATGTTACGAGCAAGGTAAAAAACAATCCCTATTTAATCGGTTTGGTAGCTTCTTGTCATTGAAAGGTGCATACCATAAAAACAGATTATAGACTGTTGTTACTTATTGAAAATAAAGCGAAGTTCAAAACTATTATCTATTTCTAAATGCTTAACGACTACAGTAATATGATAGTAGCTGTGATGACTAATATGATGAAGACAGTGGCTACGATGGCTACGATGATGGCTACGATGATGGCTACGATGATGGCTACGATGATGGCTACGATGGCTACGATGATGGCTACGGTAATGGCTACGATGGCTACGATGATGGCTACGATGATGGCTACGATGATGGCTACGATGATGGCTACGATGATGGCTACGATGATGGCTACGATGATGGCTACGATGATGGCT